ACCAGCCTCAGAACTGGCTCCTCCCCCTCCTCCTCTGCTGCCGCTCGGAGCCGATGCTCTCGCCGGGCCGTTCGCCTCGCTGCTCGATGACTCCGCCCCTTCCTCCTCCGCTTTCGGAGCGAGCTCTTTCCTCACTTCGACCTCCTGGTGGAAGACAAGGGGAACTGAAGATGAGCTCCAAGATGTCGGCGGTGGAGTTGCCGAAGGTACTGGCGCTTACCTGGATGGGTGAAAGTGGACCGAGGGAGGAGCTACAGGTTCCCATCCTGCTGCTCTGGTCCTGACAGGAACATTCTGGAACGGCGCCCCCCGGTGGACCGGCAGCAGCGGCCTCAGCTCCAGGCGTCTGGGAAGAGTTGGTACCTGTGGAGGATTCAGTCAGCCCAGCTGAGGCCCCGGACGCCTCCTCAGCTCCGCCCACTGATGGTCCTGTTGGAGCAGAGCCCTGATCTTCCTCTTCAGCTGCTCCTTCGTTTCCAGCCTCTAGAGGTGCGTCTGCAGGCTGAGCAGCAGCAGAAGATCCTTCCTCTGCTGCCGCTCCGGCGCCCTCCTTCGAACCCTCGCTCTGCGGCGCCGGCGATCCGCTCGCTTCTGTCCTCTCCTGTGACTGCTCCCTCTGCTGCCCCGCCGTTTCCTCATCCTCGTCAGAGTCGATGTGCAGCATGGCGTTGAGCCGCGTGTCCGTCGGGAAGCTGGAGCGCAGTTTGGGCAACGGCACCGGCGAGGGCCGGTCCCCAGGACCCGACGGGGCCCCGATGGCGTCCAGGTAGTCGTTGAGGGACACCTGCCGACTGGTGTGGACCCCTGGAGCGGCGGCGGGCAGATCGCCGCCTCCCATATGTCCGGGCTCATGCCACACACTGTCGTCTCCGTAGCAACAAAGGCCATTCACCAACAGGGGGCCGTCGTCGGAACCGGTGGGGGAGGACTCGCCCGTGACACGGGAGGACGAAGAGGCCTGAGGGAGGTCTTCATCATCAGACGGGCTGCCGGGGTCTCCGCTGCCCAGGATGGTTCCCATGGCATCTGGGTAGAAGGAAGGAGAGTCAGGAACTCTAGAATAGAATTTAAAATCCTCCTTCTCACATATAAAGCCTTAAATGGCCAAGCTCCATCTGATATCAGAGATCTGATTTTTCCTGATGTTCCTAACAGAGCACTTCGCTCTCAATCTGCAGGTTTACTAGTGGTTCCTAGAATTTATGCTGCTATAGGCTTAGACTGCTGGAGGACATAGGGACCCCTTTTCCTCATTCTGCTTCATTCTATCTCTATAGTTCTGCTGCTATAGGCTTAGACTGCTGGAGGACATAGGGACCCCTTGTCATCATTCTGCTTCATTCTATCTCTATAGTTCTGCTGCTATAGGCTTAGACTGCTGGAGGACATAGGGACCCCTTGTCATCATTCTGCTTCATTCTATCTCTATTAGAGCTGAAACAATAAGATTTATCGATTATTGAAATAATAGTCAACTAATTTAGTAATCGATAATTGTTAAAATGCCTTTAGCTGACAGAGCGACCCATGTAGAGCAGCAATTATATCAAAACTGTACAAAAAAAAGCATTTAAGATTAAAAAAGAATTTCCGTCTGTCAATATGCTCTATTTGGAACTCCTTAGGAGGAAACGTTTTAGCTTTCATTTTGTAAAAAATGAAAGCGTGTGAAAAAAAAAATCCTCTTTAAGGACCCGTTGGCGATCTGATTATTAAATGATTAATTTTAAAAGTTAGCGATATTTGCAAAAAAGTAATTAGTCGCAGCTCTAATCTCTACAGTTATGCTGCTATAGGCTGCTATAGGCTGCTATAGGCTTAGACAGCTGGAGGACCACTTTTCCTCACTCTGATTCATTCTACCTGCGTTGTATGTTGTGCATTGGCACTAGATGAATAAACTGAACTGAACCAATTAGATCTCTACTTCTAGTCTTCTCAAAAAGAAGTTAAAGGAAGAACGTTGTGTTTGTGTAGAATATTACCATTCATGGTGATTATCTACAAAGCCGGACATTGTACTGATCTGAACGGTAGAGGTGTCGTTGGCTGAATATTCAAACAGTTTATAATATGCTTTGAAGAGTTCATTCTATCTCTATTCTCCCGTTCTGTAGTATCTGTTAGTTCGATCTCTAACGTTCTGCTCTTCTTTTTCCAGTGTAGTCCTGTTTCTCTGACTGTGACTAACTGGATGTGCTCTCTTCATCCTCTGACATGGGAGCTGGCTCGGAGCTCGTCTGCCTGGCTGTGTGTTTCCTGGACGGGGCCGTCTGTGGAGCTGGTTGACAGTTGCCTTTTGTATCTATGCTTCTTTTTCTATGTCTGCTTTATGTGAATTTGCACTATAGAAATAAACTGAATCGAATTCTGATGCAGAGTTTGCCAGAAACTGGGTCAGAAGCAGAGAATCCTCTGATTGGCTGATCTATGGCAGAGCACAACACACCTTCATGCCCGCTGGACGTGATGTCCACTCTGAACTGCAGATGGCCGCTGACGTGGTCGGTCGGCAGGCGGCGACACAAGCTGTAGCTGACCTGATGGTCCCTGTGGGCCACCAAACACACACATGAGGGGAAACATCCCGCAGAACCAACGCTCAACCTGGGGTCAGTGGGAACTCACTCTGGCGGCCCCTCTAGGAGCCTCTGCACGGGGACGGCCAGCTGACCCAGGAAGCGCTTGATGATCGGTCGGCTTTTGGCAAACTTGTCCTTCACTTCAATCTCCAAGACGTCCGTCATCAGAGCCACGAAGGTGTACTTCTACCAAAAACAGAGACACCAATGCATTTTCAAAAGAAACACCTAAAGGCATCATGATTAGACGTAACGGCGATTGGTTTTTATGGAAAAATAAGACGGTAGAAAAACTGTAAGCTGTTGAGAGTGTGCTGACCTCCCCGTGCCACACAGGGCTGATGGTGTTGGCTATGATGGTAGAGCGCCTCTCCTGGCCGTGGTGAGTGAATTTGGGGAGGCCGCTCCTTTTCCCGGGCTGGATGGACATCTTCAGGTAGGGGTCGGGGTTAAAAAACATCCCTTTCTTCAACCCCACGGCCCGGATGTCTTCAAACCGCAAACACATATCAGCATATTGATCCGGCATCCTAAACACTGCCATGGCAGGGCTCCTCTTACCTGATAGCGTGAAGCTGACCAGTTTTCTGCAAAGCTCGCCTCCCGACTGCTCGTCCGCTTGGCTTTCGCTCCTTACCTGAACATTTGAAATGAGCTTTAAGAACATCAATGGGAGAAAAAAACCAATAAACCGATCCTAAATGTTTGTGAAAGTGGAGAGCAAACCTCAGTTAAAGTGTTTCATTGTTGTGTTTCTGCTTAAAATGCATAAATCTACACATCAGTCAGAGAAGGCGTGTAAGAGTCAGGAAAGCACGGTAGTGGCTCTGTCATGATGCCTTTCAGCCTTAATGTCTCTGATCTTTCTGCATAAGGAGCCTCCAGGAAAGGAAATCAGGATCTATGAGCCTGACAGAGTGGTGGTGGCGATGAAGAGAGCAAAGCGCAGCCATGCTAGGTGTTACGAGCGCGGACTTACCGGTACTCTTGGGTTCTTCACAGTGATACAAGGAGTTGTTGCTCTTAATGCTCCGCTCACGCCGTGATAATATTTGAAACAGATCTTTGTCTCAGCTGCAAAGAGAACACAGAAAAAACAACGCTGAACAAACAGCAAAATAATTCGGATTGTTTGAGGTTTTTATCTCAAGAAAATGGAATCTACGGGAGAGGATTGGGACCACTGATAAAATTAAAAAAGTTCACTGATTTTTAAATATTATTTCAGCTTAATATCGGAAAAAAAAAAGCCTTTAATCTCAGAATTCCAACTTTAATCTCAGAATTCCGACTTTAATCTCAGAATTCCAACTTTAATCTCAGAATTCCGACTTTGATCTCAGAATTCCGACTTTAATCTCAGAATTCCGACTTTGATCTCAGAATTCCAACTTTAATCTCAGAATTCCGACTTTGATCTCAGAATTTCAACTTTGATCTCAGAATTCCAACTTTAATCTCAGAATTCTGACTTTAATCTCAGAATTACAACTTTAATCTCAGAATTTCGACTTTAATCTCAGAATTCCGACTTTAATCTCAGAATTCCGACTTTAATCTCAGAATTCCGACTTTGATCTCAGAATTACAACTTTAATCTCAGAATTCCGACTTTAATCTCAGAATTCCGACTTTGATCTCAGAATTACAACTTTAATCTCAGAATTCCAACTTTAATCTCGGAATTCCTACTTTAATCTCAGAATTCTGACTTTAATCTCAGAATTCCGACTTTAATCTCAGAATTCTGACTTTAATCTCAGAATTCCAACTTTAATCTCAGAATTCCAACTTTAATCTCAGAATTCCGACTTTAATCTCAGAATTGTGGATCTGTGATGGAGTTAGGCGACTTTTTCCGTCCCTGAGGGTCGCTGCTGATGCTATTTGATTAATGGAAGAGCAAAAGCTGTCAGAAGGCAGTCAGTATTCTGAGAAAAAAGTCAGAATTGTGACTTTTTTCTCAGATTATACTAAAACCTTTTTTTATTTTTTCAGTGGAACTAATCCTCTTCCGTAGGAAACTAATGCTGCACTTCAAAAACACAGATTCCAATAGAGAAAGCTGAACTGTTTGCCGTTTAAAATCACTCTTGAATTTAGGAAAATTATCGTGTTTTTAATTGATAAATTTTTGAATCAATAAAACACGATTTGACATAATTCAATTTCAGATTATTATAACTATAAGGAAATCCAAAGTTTTATTATTTATTCCAATTTGAAGCTTTCTTTGATGGAAAGGACCTAAGAGTGCTGTTTACATTTAGTGCCTGCAGTTCTAACGGAAAAGACAGACTGTGCTAACGCAAAGCTAATGCTAAGCTAACCCTTCTCTAACAGTTACCTTAATGACTGGCAAAAGGACAACACTACGCCTATGCTAAGCAAACACTAAGCTAAGCCTTAGGTTAGTTAGCCTGAACAATCAAGTCAAACACTAAGCTAACTTCACCTTTAAGTGAAGCTAAAGGTGAACCAAAGAAGCGTTACGCTGATGCTAAGCTAAAGCTAAGCTAACCCTTAGTTTTAGCTTGGACTTTCTTGTCAAACAGGATGCTACTGGGCTGATGACTAAGCATTTACTATTAGGCTAAGTCTTAGCTGATGTTAGCCTGGGATCAAGTCAGGTGCGAAAACAACACTGTGCTTATGCTAAGTTAACCATCAGTGTTAGCCTAGCCATCAAGTCTTACACTAAGCTAACCCTTATTGTTACACTTGACCAAAAGGTTAAACAAAGAAGCACTATGCTGATGCTAAGATAAGGCTAGGCAACGCCCTAGTTTTAGCTTGAATTTTCTTGTCAAACAAGAAGCTACTGTGCTAAGCTTACGCCATTAAACTAACTCTTAGCTAATGTTAGCTTGGGCCATCAAGTCAGGCAAGAGCAACACTGAGCTTATGCTAAGCAAACCATCAGTTTTATCCTGAACCATCAAGTCTAACACTAAGCTAACCCTTATTGTTAGACTTGACCAAAAGGTGAAACAAAGGAGCACTATGTTGATGCTAAGCTAAGGCTAGGCAACCCTTAGTTTTAGCCTGAAAAATTCTAGTCAAACAAGTAGCTATTGTACTGATGCTAAGCATACGTCATTAATTCAGGCAAGAACACAACACTGAGCATATGATACGCTAACCGTCAGGGTTAGCCTGAACCATCAAGTCTAACACTAAGCTAAACATTATTGTTAGACTTGACCAATGGGGAAGCAAAGGAGCCCCTCGCTGATGCTAAGCTAAAGTTAAGCTAAGGTTCAGGTTTTAGCTTGGACTTTCTTGTCAAGTAAGGAGCTAATGTGCTGATGCTAAGCAGATGCGAATAGGCTAAGTCTTAGCTAATGTTAGCCTGGGTCATAAAGTCAGGCAAGAACACAGACTGCGCTGATGCTAAGCTAATGCTAAGCCATAGCTACCAGAGTAGCTTATTTGGTCCTTATTGACTATCAGTAAGAGCAAAAAAAAAGCAACTTAGCAACTGAAAGTATTTATTTAATGTGTTCTTAAAATAGAAAACGTCAAGGAGACTTTACACCTTTTATACTTCCTAGATGACGATGAGAATATTAGGCTAACATCTCACCAATAAGAAATGATCTGTGACAGTGGATAGCTACATAATTCCTGGTGCAGCATGGTAAACAGAAAAACCACTAAATGTGATAAATGATGGTGATTCAACAAGTGAAGCAAACGTAGTTCCAGCTCTCATCTAGGGCAACCAAAGCTCTGTAGACAGACGGCCCATTCTGACGGTTAACCAGAACAGAATTAAGAAAAGAAAAAAAACATCTCCAGTTTCCAGAGGCGACCGTTTCTGTAGCTAAATATATTCTCCTAGCTTCAGCAGGCAGCTGGAAGTAACACAAGGAGCTGACCCTACGACCCCATGACACATGACTTTAGCGTTAGCTAGCGGTTATCATCCGCCTGCTGAGAAAAACCAAGAGGTTTTAATCATGTTTAAAATCTGTTCCTGCTCCAGCAGGTTCCTAAAGATGTTTATTCTAGAACTATAGGGGAAGAAACAGTTAAAGGACGGGGAAACTAGACACCAGCAGCTGGGGGGACATGAGGCCCCATATTTAGTTCCAGGGGCCACCGTCACTATTGCTGGTCAAGGTTCTCAGTCATCCAGGTTATAGTCATTCCAAAAAACAACCTAATGGACTTCGCTTCCAAGTTTGAAGACGTTTCTCTTCCATCCAGGAAGCTTTTTCAATTCAAAATGTCAGAAATAGTGTTGAGTTTAAAGCTTTATAGAGTGCACCAGCAAAGCCTTGTTTTGGCTTACAAAGAATTCTAAGATTGACCCACCAGGTACCAGTCTCTGGTACCTGGTGGGTCAGGGCTGCTTGATGGCTTCTGACGAGTCTGAAATCATAAGAGCAGGAAGAAGCCTGATCCATTCTATCTATCATCCATCTAATCTCTGTCTCCTTTTAAAACCAATTAAAAGCAGGGATTTTCCATATCAAAGACCACCTAAAATGATTTTATAACTAAGGCTATTTAAAGACTTCTTATGCTTATACATGTCATCCTCCACAATATGCATATGGAAGCCCATTTCTGCCACTCAGATGAAATTAGAATTTCAAATTAGAATTTCACGCATTGCTTTTAGCCAGCAATGCGTACGGGCGTACACTGTACGCACTTTACTACAACTATTAGAAATTATAAGCCCTGTGTTTGGGAGATTTCACTCCAGTGTTCAAAATGTGAGAAGCAGCAGCTGCTGGAGTTTAAAACATTGAACTTTAGCTGCTGGACGCGCCTCATCAACCAATCAGAGGAGCTGGCAGGGAGTCAGACACAGCACTGCCGATGCAGAGCGCTACAATCACTCCTCTGAAACTGTTTATTAGCAATGTTTTTTATTGTTTTACTTTGGATTTATGTTTATCTGTGTTCATTATTATTCCCCCACTAAATGATAAAAGTCATAATTTATTATTATCTAGAGACTATTAATAACAGGAGGTGAAATGCAGCTCCAGACGAGTTTTGAATGTGGTGATGTCATCAGTACGCTTCTGTTCCAGTAGACCTAGATTTATGCTGCGTGCTCCCGTTCTCCCCGAGTCCAGACTTTCCTGTGTTCTTCTCAAGAACGGACTTGGCGAGGACACAAGTTCGCACTTGCATTGTGGTGACTTGAGAAATGGCCTTTTTTTCCCCCCTTTTTTTCCCTTTTTTTCTTTTTCTCTCTTTTTTTCTTTTCTTTAATTCTTTTCTTTTAAGAAAAAAAGAATTAAAAAAAAGAAATAATCTTTGAAGGCAGGATGGTAATCTGGATGAACTGACTGCACAGACCATGTTTTCAGGAGGACTTTCTCACTTCAACATAGATTCTAACTACTTTCTACCCGCTGATCACAGCTAATATAGCAAAGCTGCTCTCTGGCATTGAACTCAGGAGCAGCAGAAGCATCTGGACTCACTTTACTGGACGTCTGACCTTAACATCTCAAAACTCACCTCAGCATTCAGCGACCGTTTATATAGTGTTTACAACTAATAACTCAGAATTTACAAAAGTTCAGCAGTTTTACTGGGTTTTATAGATTGATAGTTAATATATAGTAAAATATAGTTATTTTAGGTTAATAAATGTTACATTTTGTTATACACATATATATCCATTACTGATTCTAAAGAAAGTGAGAAAATACTTGCTTTACAAATGTTTTGTGGCCATCAAAATGCTTAAGTGTTATTCTATGGGTCAAATGGCACAATCTGGCACATTTGGAGACGCTGGTGACACCAAAAGTTCAAAGCCCCACAGCTCTGGAACTGTTATAGATAGAGACCTGAAATTTTATGCATCCCTTGCCCTGTCAACTGGGTTGTAGAATCCTCTCCCTATAAATATTGAATTCTCTGTGAAAAAAATCCTGATCATTCTTTTATAAGATACTCGTTAAATGGGCACAGAGTTTTTTTTAAAGCTGTGTGTAGTGGCACAAGTGAAGGATTTTTTTGTTGTTGTTTTATAAACAAAATACAACTAAAACCTGACGAATTCGGAAAATAAAACAGCGTGATTGGATGTATGGAGAAAAAGCAGAGAGAGCAGAACTTTAGAGATTGAACTAACAGATTCTGCAGAGTGGGAGAATAGAGATAGAATGAAGCAGAATGATGAAAAAGGGGTCCCTATGTCCTCCAGCAGTCTAAGCCTATAGCAGCAGAACTATAGAGATAATTCCGGACTGTAACTATCCTCTTCATAAACAAGCTGTAGATCTACAGGTGGCACCTCAAATTTCTCATATGCGTAAAAAACACTTTGCGATAAATCTTTTCTGATTCTAATAATTAAGACTTTTTTTTTTTATCAAAGTGGTAGAAATTGGCTTCCATATATTTGAGACATATTCCTGTCCAATTAGAGCAGCATAGATCTACACCAGTTAGTCATGAAACATTGGAAAGCATCTAGGGATAAAATAAGATAATTTATCTTTAACTGTGAGAAGGAACTTTTCACATCTCAGTAAACGGGACCAAAGGTCAGGTCTGCTTCACATTTGGGATGAAGAAGATGTCGCAGACTGGACCTAACACGAACGTCCTGAAGAGTCAAATCTCTGAAATTTGCTCAACCTTCTTCCAGGCTTTTCCTTCCATAAAACAATCAAATGACATGGATTTCCCACAATGCAATGGATGAAGACAACGGCCAATACAGGAGTAATGGTTTAAAGACTTCACTCACCCTCCATGAAGTAGGGCTCTGGCTCCAGCCTCCACAGAACCTGTCCCTTCTGGGTACCATTCACCCCGCGGTTCTTGGACTCCCAGACGTTGGCCACGCTTGTTTCATCTGTGGAAACACGTCAGGAATCATTCCATCTTTTCAGAATTCAAAGTATGTTTGTTAAGATGTAGCCATAGACTTGAAGGCCATGCCCTGCTCTTCCCTTTCTTTATGTAAAGGCAGCTCAGAGGGCACCCTTGTACTCCCATTGGCTCTAAAGATGTGCTTTATGTCTATATGATTCAATTCCAGGTTGTGGAAACAGAAAACAAACTGCTTCATATTTGGACTCGGACACCTTGATAAACTCACATTTATCCGTCTACCTTCAGATCTGGGCCAAGACCATGGCGGCATTGTTCGTAGATCAGACTATGGCATTTAGCCCACTAAGAAGAGGGATTGCATATCTCCCTGTTGGGTCCATCTCTACGTTTTAGATCCCAGTGATACGGGTTTGGTAAAAAGGAGATTCAGAATACAGATTTTTAGGGCATGGGCAGTTCTAGACAAGGGCAAAACGGGGGCATTGGTGTTGCAGAACTGTTCATTACACCTAAAGAGGCCTCTGTATTGAAGACATAATACTAAATACAATTCTCACTGTCTGAAAATAAATCCTGGACATCATGATTGGTACCTCAGATGGTTCGCCTTTGGGTCATATTTCCAGGTACCTGGAGGTGAAATAGTTAGATAGCGACCAGGAGGCATCAGGAACAGAAGTCCGAGCCTCCTCAATTGGCTCCTTTCGATGTGGAGGAGCAGTGACTCTACTCTGAGCTCCTCCTGGGTAACTGAGCTCCTCGTCTGATCTGGAAGGGTGCGCCCTGCCACCCTGCGAAGGAAACTCATTTCAGCTGCTTGTGTTCGCGATCTTGTCCTTTCGGTCATTACCCAGATATCATGACCATAGGTGAGGGTGGGAACATAGATGGATCAGTAAATCGAGAGCTTTGCCCCCGGACTCAGCTCCCTCTTCACCATCACAGTTCGATACAGCGACCGCATCAATGCCGATGCCGCACCGATCCATCTATCAATCTCACGCTCCATCCGTCCCTCACTCGTGAACAAGACCCTGAGATACTAAAAGTCCTCCACTTGAGACAAGGACTGACCTGAAGAAGGGAGTCCACCTTTATCCGGTGGAGAACCATGGCCTCGGATTTGGACTTGTTGATCCCCATCTCGGCCGCTTCACACTTGGTTGCAAATTGCTCCAGTGCACGTGAAACACACGTCAGAGCAAAATTTAAAGACCTCACAAAGGTGCTGTTGAAGCTAGTAGGGAGCCGTTATTCCCAGTGAAACCAGTCCAGAACCAGCATTGGCTCTAAGGCGACTCGGTGAGGAAGAAGCCATGGGTTCAACAGCCACAGAGGAGTGGGCTGATTTAGCTGTAAGTCAAAATATCCGTTGGATAAACAGGGGGACATAATGGTGCGTTTTTGCATAAATCTCCATCCTCTGACATTAGGCAAGGAATTTGCACGATGAGCGACGGTGTGAATTCATACGGCAGGATAATGGCTCCTCTGTATTCAAATCTACTGGATGTTGGTTTCCCCTCAACATGGAAGATGTTGATTTTACGCAGTGCTTTAAGGACTATGGAAAGCCGCCAGCAGATCCTTAAGAGACCCTGCCGGCTCAGAGAGTCTACAAGCTTTGGCATAATGGCCGCCTTCCAGGGGAGTTTAAAGTAAGGTCAGATGGTTACAGTGCTAAGTAAGGAGGACAGGCATACACTATACCTATATCACTGTACTCAACTGTAGCTCAAACTGTACGAAGAAAACACAGGGTTTAAAAGTTCGCAGCTCAAAATGTTTGTTCTTCCACAGTACGGCCCAACGCTCTGATGTCATCTACTTGCTCAAACTGTACGTCTAAAAACCATACGTCGAACTTAGTGCCGAGAGATGTCGCTGGTCGGATTGTTCATCTGGAAGAAGAAGAACAACAACTCCCTTGTTTGCACATGCAGAGTGCCCAAGGATCTGGTAAATCTGCTCATAGATGGTCGTAGCTCTGTTTCAACAGCAGGACTTTACGACTGAATTTCAAACATGTTTAATTTTCTCCTGAACTTACGATTCCTGATCGGGAGGTGGTCGTTAGAGGCTAATCATCCCTCGTTACACCCTGTACACTACAATACTTGGCCAGATTGAAAAATTCAAGCACGACTGGGGAATCGGCCAAAAAAGGGCAAAAAAATTGCACAGTGTATGCCTGGGGATGCACTCTACGATATTTTCAATCTTCATACTTAGCTACAGCTGTATGACAAAACCGCAGGGTTTAAACGTTCGTAGCTCCCAATGCATGTTCTTCCACTGCATGGCCCAACACTCAGATGCGATCTACTGTCCCTCGTTACACCCTGTACACTACACGACATAAACGCACGATGAGGCTGAAACTCGGCCCAATCCAAAAAGTTCTTGCACACCCCACTCTGTCTTAACGCTACCTCAGAGCAGGAGTATATAGTGTGGGGAGAGTTATAGCTATCAAGCACTAGGTGGCAGCAGCATGTTGTGTTGATGGGACTGGTGCACTTCACAAAATGGATTCAACAATGTAGAGAGAACATAATATGGATAAATAAAAGCAACATCAGAAGATTAAACCAGAGATTAAACCATGGGCACAATCAGGTCTTCCAGATGGACAATATCTCCCAATGAGCCATCGAAAAAGTGACAACGTGGCTTAAGGACAACAGAGTCCATGTTTTAGGGTCTCGGAGTCTTGGTCTCAGACTCGGAGAACATCAGTGACCAGAGAACTTGGAGGCCTAAGACCCCGACCCACACTGCATGAAAAGTGGGATTTTCGTCAATATACGGCACTGTAGATTGAGTGGAACTTCAGGTTAGCGGCAGTTTACGGCAATTTGCAGGCTTCGTCGAAAACTCCCGTAAATTGTCAGAAATTGACGTGGAATTTCTTAGGCAGTGTTCCCCCCATGCCTCCCCCCCATGGAATTCTAGGGGAGGCTTTAACATGTAAATGAACATGCTGTGAGCTATACAGCATGTTCTGCAACCCTGGGTAAGAAAATCTCTGATACAAAGAGATCAGGTATAGCCTCTTACATTTTAGCTTGAATTGATTTATTTAATTAAAGTATAGAGACCAAAACAGATCTTTAGCTGACAGAGCAATACATTTAGAGCAGTAATTATTTTTTTTTAAATTTGCATTTAAGATAAAAAATAAAATGTTGTCTGTCAATATGCTCAATTCACAATTACTTAAGTGGAAAAGTTTCAAGAAATGATTCTGAGATGATTCACTTTATAACATGGCGCATTATCCTGTTGGAAGTAGCCATCAGAAGATTGGTACACTGTGGTCATAAGGACATAGGTCAGCATGCTAAATTGGTATTAAGTGGCCCAAAGTGTGGCAATAAATATCCCCCAAATAGATGGTAGAAATAGATCAGGCTCAGTATAGCCTAATTATAGACTCTTACATTTTAGCTTGAATTGATTTATTTAATTAAAGTACGCTAGATTACTGTGTATGCAAATGTTATGTAAAAAAAATACACAAAATAATTTACTTCAAAAATTAGTTTTAATCAGAATCAGTTGGCTGTAATGGTTAATTTTTTTTTTAGATTTCCACTTTTTTTTTTTTTTTGTTATTGAATATATAAGAAAAAAATAACAATCTCAAATAACAAGTCAATAACAAATATTTCAATACAAGAAGAAATATCACAACTCCTGCTTTTGAAAAATAAAATTAAATGCACAGGCTGGAACAAAGTATAAAATAAAATAAATAAAAATAAATAAAATAATAATAGTAGTTAAAGTAAATTAATCAGTGGGGACTACCAACTGAAATTCTTCAATTAACTCAAACAATTTAATTGCATTTAAATTCTGCATCTTTCTCAGACATCTTTTGAAAAGGGAAAGTTCATTTTTGAGAGCAGAGATTGAGAGGGAGCATTTTGCATAGCGACATTTATGGATATAATACTTTGTTACAATTATTAGAATATTGATTAAAAATTCCAAATTTTTTTTCTTTAATGGATAAACCGAATTGAATGTTTTGCCATGAAATAAAATCTAAATTTATTGTTTTAGAAGACAGAAAGGTTCGAAGTTGATCCCATAAGTTTAATACTTCTTTACATTCATAAAAAAGATGTTTAGTTGTTTCCAATTGAGTTGTACAAAAGCCACAATTCTCAACATTAAACTTAAATCTCTCTCTTAAAAACTCATTTGAAGGATATATGTTATTTATTATTTTAAACTGTAATTCTTTATATTTAGGAGGAATTGGGAATTTCAAATAATTTGTCCTAATTTTGACTATCATAGATTTCTTAAAATTTTGTAAGAGAGCTGTGCTTTTTGTTCTTCCTGGGTACATATTATTTATAGAATATTGATTCAAAAACTTGTTGTTGCATTTATTATCTCTAATGTCCACCTGCTCAAATTCAATCTTATGGAGACAAACAATTGCAATTGCAAACAATTTATAGGTGCATTACCGCCACCTTCCAGAATGGAGCGACGCGAGCTCTTCTCGCGAGTCCTTCCGTATAACAATGACGTCGTATGTGATTGGAGGAGCCTGATGAGCCTTCGGCCCCATCGTCCAATCACGTGTAAGCTTTTGTGCACTACGACTTCTCGCGAGACCAGCATATTAGCAGACATGTTTGTGTTACTATACTCAGAAGAGCTTCATCTCCATTTACCGTGTTTGTATTTTGTTGTTACGTGAACAGTGGCTGCACGACGTCTCGCGTTCAACTCGCCTCCAACTGCTCTTAGTCCACAACTTTCGGCCAGCCCGCAGATTGACGAGAAGAAACTGCTGATTGCTATCAGCGGACTGTCTCGTCAGCTTGCCCAACATACTGCCGACATGAATGAGCGCCTCACTCAGCTGGAGAATTCGATGCTACGAACTCAAGGAAGAGAAGACGGGTGCACAACGCCACGCTAGCGGTAAATATATGTTCGATTACTGGTAGCTATGCTAAAAGCAGCCTAGCTTAGCTAGGCAAGCTAAAGACAACCTAGCCTAGCTAGGTAAGCTAAAAGCAGCCTAGCCTAAAGCTTTATTAAAGTGTATTTTTTGTGATTCACAGGAAGCATTATGCCGTCTTAACAACTCGGAGACTAATTGCAGGCGCTATGAACCGGAGCAGGGGTAAGGTTTAAAGAATATGCTTTCATTCTGCGGTAAAAGGACATGGATACGGATGGATACCGATCATAGCTGTACTTTTTTTTTTTTTCACAGACTACAGTCGCCTCACAATGAGGCGGTGACCTCCTATTTGCTCGGATTTGCACGATGTTGATAAAGACGACATTGTGTGTAAGTGACTTGTTTTAATGTTTTCTCCTTCCTTGTTACTGTGACTTGCGTTTGATTTTTTTTTTATTCATACCACTCTCATTTAATTGTTTTCCAGCTGCCTGTAAGACGTATTATGAGACGGTACGCAGGAGCTTCAGATACACGCTGCTAGCCAGCACGCGGCGTGCGGAGGCTGCCAGGCTATCTGCTCGGAGTCGGGCCAGAAGAAAGAGGGTAAGACTTTATTTGGTGACTATTTTTCAGGTGCATTGATTGATGTGTTGTGTCCATATGCAGTGCGCTGATTCATTGTTTTGTTTTTTTTCAGCTGCTGAAGGCGAGGCAGAGTGTGCTGGCAGATGAGGAAGTGGAACTCTGGAAGTCCGCCACCATCGACGTCCGACGAAGAAGATGGCGTCGTCGGCGGTGTCTCTGGATGGATTGTACGGTCGCCGCCATTTCGTAGGCCGGATCTCACTGAACTCCGTGTTAAGCTGCAGTCCCGGTTACAAGCGATGTCGAAGTACAGGGCCACGCACAGTATGCGTCTGCACATCGGACCTGCCTCGGAGGGAATGCTGCCTGTTACCTCCAACCCCGAGGAAGCAAACAGACCGTTCACGGAGTTGGAATTTTTAGAAACGCATGTGTTTGGATACGCGTTGTATATAGTTGTGTGTGTTTTAATAAAGCTCTTTCTTTGCATAAACAGCTTCCCGGCAAATCTTCATTTCCTGTATAAATTCATTCATGTCCTTGATGGTAGCATAATAATTGTGTAGTAGTTTAGGATAACATAAATACACAGCATATGAATGAACAAATATATGAATGAATAAATATATGAATGAATAAATATATGAATGAATAAATATATGAATGAATAAATATATGAATATATATATATATATATATATATGAATGAATAAATATATATATGTAAATATATATATATGCCAACCAATCACGAGCGACTTTACTTGTTTAAAAAGAAGTGGTTCCGTCCAATACTCAGTAAGAAAATTAAAGCCTGGCGTGGCCACGTGTGGTTTTGCTGCCAATCACGAGCGATTTCACTTGTTTGAGAATAGTGGTTTCAGCCAATACTGAGTAGGTTATTCAAGCCAGACCTGGCCAGCCGCGCGGGTTTGCTGCATTCATATGCTAATTAGGGCCATTAGTACAGCTGATCGCTCTCCACATACGTCACGGTACGTTTTCGACAATTTGTGGCACGACAAACGCGGACAAGCACGGGTTGCAAATTGTCGGAAACTGACGAAAATCAGGCAGATCTGCGGGAGTTTACGGGGGTTTACGGGGACGAAAATCTCACTTTTCATGCAGTGCCAGGTCCAACAGTTCAGTCCAGATGAATCAACTTCCAAAAAACTAGCAGAAGATTTGCCAATAAGAAGAAACTTTGTTGAAACAGTCTGACTTTCAATATTGATCAAATTCAGTAGCTCACCGATGTGGTACAGGCCGATCCAGTCTGTGGCGTCCACCTCCTCCTTTATGTCCCACGAGATCACCAGGTGGCCTTGGCCTAGAGTCAGCTGGTAGGTGGAGGCGGTGAGCGAGGAGCGGCTTTCAGAGGTCACCAGGTCCGTGTCGCTATTGGCGCGCTGGAGTCCCATCCCGGCTGATTCTGGTTGGGCCCCGGAAGAGGAGGAAGCCGATGACGACGAGGACGTTGAGGACACGGATGCAACTTGCACAGACAGACTGCCCAAGTTGTCCGGCCCCACCGTGTATGGCCGACTGTGCGGGGTGCGGCGCCTCACCGCCTGCAGGTGCTCGCGGGCACTACCGTTGGGTACCGCGGATGCTTGGAGCGGTGGCGAGGAGGAAGAGGCGGTAGCAGCCGCCGCCATCCCCGTGGCCGAGGCGTACGAGAAAGTGGGAGGTGAGGAGAGCTGGTGGAGGTGGGGGGATTGGGGGCTGTGGTGATGATGGAGAGGGGAGGACGGGGCAGAGGAGTTCAAGGGTGACTGGGGACGGGGGTGAGGGGGGAGGACCGCGGTTGTGAGGGATGGGCGAATGGTGGAGGTTGGCGGAGAGGGTTCAAGAGAAAAAAAGAAGTCTTTGGTGCAGACAGAGAGGAGTTCTCAGGTTCATCTCATTGAGACGGTTGAATGGAGAAAACCTCTAATGAGTTCTTATCCAAAGCTTCATGTCAGTTTGTCGGGAACTGTTCCACTGTCAGAAACCTCTGGGAGTCAGGATCCAAACTGTGGCATTCCTTAGCTCAGCAGGTGTGTGACTCCACCAGAACTCCATCATGGCGCAACAAGGAAGAGGCAGGAGGGGTAAGAACTAAAGGAAGGAGAGAGGACGCATCAGTTAGTCCATTCATCTGTCCAGGTGGACAGAGACGACCGGCGAATAACCCGCTGAGAGGAAAGGGCCCAAACCTACAGGAGAAAGATAAGAGGGAGGAAGGAGAAGAAAGATGGTCAGAAATCATCATTTAAGCTCATTTTCATTATGACCTGCTGGTATTCAAAAAACAAAAAAACAGTACAACTACGACGGAATATTAGCCTAGCCCTTCCTAGCCTAGCCGTAATACTACATCGTAGTATTTAGTTGAGTTTGTGTTATTTTTTATTCTTCCTCCCCCAAACGGTTTTAGCTATAAGGTTTCCAGGGCCAGCATAGACTCCTTCTTTTAATCTGGTTATTTTTGTCCATAGGAACTTGTGAACTGAATAAACTGTATTTAATCTGCAACAGGGCCTCGGTTAATTCTTACCAACTTATCTGTGTGATCTGGTAAGGTTCTCCACACATACCAGGAACTACCCAAGGTCACAGGTACCAAACCTTGATCTTAAAGGAATAGTACACCCAAAACATGATTAGCCTTCATTTTCTACTCACCCCCATGCTGAAGAACACTCTGGAGTACTTTTTTGATATCTCAAATGCATCTGGAGATCTGGGAGGCTTCTTGCTGTCTGCTGACATTCAAATAATGGAGGTCTATGGCGCCCGAGGCAGAGAGGTCCATAAAAGTCCACAAAAAACGTGTCAATATTCCTCCATACTGCTCGTCCAATGTATTCCAAGTGTCCTGAGTGGGTAGCGTCCAGAATTTACTCGAAACGAAGTCATTTAGAATGTTTTTAGAGCATAAACTGTAGTGTATAGGATTTCCTGAAAGCGCGTTCACGACGCTACGGAAACCGGCAGACCAAACCAGATGAAAGTGCGCATTCAGCTCGGCAAAGAACTCATGCTCTTCCTCAACACTGAAGTCCTCAGACATTTTTCTTTCGTTGTTTCTTTCTTTGCACAGGTAAACAGCACATTTCTTCTTCTACGCTTGCATTATCGGCAGAGCAGACGCTGAATGCGCACTTTCATCTGGTTTGGTCTGCCGCGGTTTCCGTAGACTCATGAACGCGCTTTCAGGAAATCCTATACACTACTGTTTATGCTCTAAAAACATTCTAAATGACTTCGTTTCGAGTAAATTCTGGATGCTACCCACTCAGGACACTTGGAATACATTGGACGAGCAGTATGGAGGAATATTGACACGTTTTTTGTGGACTTTTATGGACCTTTCTGCCTCGGGCGCCATAGACCTCCATTATTTGAATGTCAGCAGACAGCAAGAAGCCTCCCAGATCTCCAGATGCATTTGAGATATCAAAAAAGTACTCCAGAGTGTTGTTCAGCATGGGGGTGAGTAGAAAATGAAGGCTAATCATGTTTTGGGTGTACTATTCCTTTAAAGGTGGTACTGTGGTCGGAAAATTTAGATTTCTATTTATGCTATTTATCCAGTTCAAAATGTTTTTACTCAGTTTGTTTCACCTGCAAGGCTGAGAAAATGTCTGAGTGAGTTACACAAAACATATTTAATCCCACTACAAGCCAAATTGTTTCTCAAGGTTTGTTAAAGTGTGTATTATTTGTTTTTGCTCTGACACAACCTTCGCAGTTTTTCATCAACATAAGTAAGAAAGACAAACTCTGTCCAGATCAGAACAGGGCTGATTACAGTGCCATGAGGGCCGTATGACAAACTGTTCTCTGTTTGCAAAGATCGGAAAAAATGTGCTGACTGAGTGAAATCCATCCATCTCTGTTTATTTAACTAGGGTGAATAGTTGAATACTTTTTCCCAATTACAGAACCAAAGCATGAAATGAAAAACAACAGTTCTATTCCTTATGGTTGTTTTAACATAACTACATTTTAATTGTTGGGATCTGGAGGTCTCTCTACTTTTCTCCACCAGAGGACGTTCTAGGTCTCCTGGAGCTGGAGCTGACTGCACCACCTGCGGCTCGTTTGCTCATCAGGAGACCAGTACTTAAGGAGGTGGAGAGCTACACTCTGACGCCAGAGTGTTTGCCAGTTATGGTTAGCAAGCCTGAGCCAACCTGCCTGTCTGAATCTCTGACTCTCAGAAAACCTGAACCTGAACCTAATCTGTTTTGTCCTCTCTGCTTCCCAGGTTGAACCTGCCTGAAACCTGAAACCCTGAAGAGTTTCTCTGCTGGAAATCTGTCAGTCGGATCTCTGAAGAACCCCGGAGAATCAAACCTGTCAAAGACCTGCCTGCCCAATCTCAGAAGAATCTGAAAGGGAAACTCAAACCTGTTGCCTGCAAACTCTCAAACCAGAATCTGCCTCCGCCAAGCCCTCAGCCTGCCGACAGCCTCTGGACCCTCCTGGTTCCCCCTCTCTGCCGCTCTGCTCAAACTCCAGAACAGGTACAGACCTGCACTCTCTAACTCTGCAAACTACCTGGACATCAGCTAACCACTCTGTCCCCCTCTGCAGTGAACCCAGTCGTGACCAGTCCTGGATCTGATTATACCTTGGATCTATTCTTTATTCAACTGTGTTGTTTCAATAACACTTTGAACTTTTTCTCCTGTGTCTGTGTGTTCTGCATGTGGGTTAGAAACCTTAAACCAAACATGACATTTCTATCCTTAAACAAATCTTATAATCAGATAAAGTAAATCAGGTCCAACGGAATGTCTAAAAACATAAAGAAAAGTCTTTATGTGATAAATGATCCTTCCCTTTGTTCAAGGATGAAGTCATTGTGGTTATTAATATTTTATAGTTCATTTTCAGCAGCTATTAAACACATGAACCCAGCGGGTAAAAATAGCACGGAGCCGACCAGCAGCGAACTGATATCTGGATGCGTCGTAACGTCATATCAAAGTGTGCTTAACAGCTGTGGCTTTATTTTTTTTTTCTAAAAATAACGACACGCCAATGAAGTCCGATGGAAGGTTTAGCATCAAGATTAATCCAGGGAAAGGAAGGGGAGATTTAATCTGGACAGAAGGTTGTTTTTCCTAATCCACAGCTTCACCTCCCGGCTCTGCTTACATCCAGCTTTATATATTGATTTTCAGGAAAAATCGGATTGGATGTCGCTGGTCAGACTACAATGGGAATATTTATATGGCAGCAGATAAAACCCTAAAATCTTCATATAAACTTATATGAACATTTTTGTATTTTCAATTCATTGAAAAATAAAGCAAGGTTGCTGAGATTTTATGAATAAAATACATTTTTATGTTTTTTCTCACTTTTTACTAAATACTTAGTTTATTATTGTCATGTATACAGAAGAGGATTAGGGCCACTAAAAAAATGTAAAAAGTTAACTGTTTTTAAATATTATTTCAATTTAATATGGGGAAAAAAGTCAGAATTCTGACTTTTTTTTCTCAAAATTCTAACCTTAATCTCAGAATTCTGACTTTTTTTCTCAAAATTCTAACCTTAATCTCAGAATTATGACTTTTTTTTGTCAAAATTCTAACCTTAATCTCAGAATTCTGACTTTTTTTGTCAAAATTCTAACCTTAATCTCAGAATTCTGACTTTTTTTCCTCAGAAGTCTCACTTGAATCTCAGAATTCGTGATTTAATCTTAGCATTTTGTCTTTTTTCTCAGAATTCTGACTTGAAAATGATTTTATTTTTCCTTCTCCAAAGGATTCAGTTTTAGTCGCTGTTTAAGTTTTATAAATTAACTGCTGGGTCTGGTTAGTTGCAACACTTCTTTTTATAGAATTCTAACCTTAATCTCAGAATTCTGACTTTTTTTTCTCAAAATTCTAACCTTAATCTCAGAATTCTGACTTTTTTTCCTCTGAAGTCTCACTTGAATCTCAGAATTCGTGATTTAATCTTAGAATTCTGTCTTTTTTCTCAGAATTCTGACTTGAAAATGATTTTATTTTTCCTTCTCAAAAGGACTCAGTTTTAGTCGCTGTTTAAGTTTTATAAATTAACTGCTGGGTCTGGTTAGTTGCAACACTTCTTTTTATAGAATTCTAACCTTAATCTCAGAATTCTGGATTTATTCTCAGAATTCTGCCTTTTTTGTTTTTTCAGAATTCTGACTTGAAAATGATTTTATTTTTCCTTCTCAAAAGGATTCAGTTTTAGTCGCTGTTTAAGTTTTATAAATTAACTGCTGGGTCTGGTTAGTTGCAACACTTCTATTTATAGAATTCTAACCTTAATCTCAGAATTCTGACTTTTTTGTTTTTTCAGAATTCTGACCTGAAAATGATTTTTATTTCTTCTCCAAAGGATTCAGTTTTAGTCTCTGTTTAAGTTTTATAAATCAACTGCGGGTCTGGTTGTATTTAAATTATTATTTTTTCAAGGATCAGCCCCAGTTAAACACTAATACTGATGAAAAGCTTTGTTTTAGGTCATCGTCTGGCAGTAATGTGAAGGAAAGTCTCTCCACATTGGGTCCTGATGAACTTTCAGTTTGGACTGCCCTGCTAAGCCCCGCCCACCGCGTCCTGAAATAGCCATTAGCGTGATTGAAGAACAATGAGGCGGCCTGGTGAGAGACACCAGCTTCCTGTCCCCCAGCAGGACGGTGACATTCCTGTGGCTCCGCGTGGGTTGGGGCCTCCCCGCCGTTCTTCCTCACTTTCTGCCCTTTTATTTTCCCTCCGTTCCTCAGGATGTCAGACGTGACGATCAGCTGAACCCAGAGACGCCATGATGGCTCTTTATGGGTGCCGTTTATGAAAAATCACAAGCAATATTATTTAGTGTTTAATAGGAGCAAATTCACTATGTCATTCATTCATCTATAAAAATCAAAGTTCTTAACTCAATTTTTATTATTTTAACTAAATATTTAGTTTGTAAAATAATATTATTTTTCTTAACAAGCTAAATATTTTGTTTTAAGCTAAATATTTGATTTGCAAATAAAGTATTCAGCTAGCACCATGCTAAATATCTAACAAACTAAATATTTAGCTAGTAACAATATTTATTTAACAAACTGAATATTTAGCTAGCAACAATATTTATTTAACAAGCTAAATATTTAGTTTTAAGACAAATATTTATTTAACAAGCTAAATATTTGATTCGTAAATAAAGTATTCAGCTAGCACCATGCTAAATATCTAACAAACTAAATATTTAGCTAGTAACAATATTTATTTAACAAACTGAATATTTAGCTAGCAACAATATTTATTTAACAAGCTAAATATTTTGTTTTAAGACAAATATTTATTTAACAAGCTAAATATTTGATTCGTAAATAAAGTATTCAGCTAGCACCATGCTAAATATCTAACAAACTAAATATTTAGCTAGTAACAATATTTATTTAACAAACTGAATATTTAGCTAGCAACAATATTTATTTAACAAGCTAAATATTTAGTTTTAAGACAAATATTTATTTAACAAGCTAAATATTTGATTCGTAAATAAAGTATTCAGCTAGCACCATGCTAAATATCTAACAAACTAAATATTTAGCTAGTAACAATATTTATTTAACAAACTGAATATTTAGCTAGCAACAATATTTATTTAACAAGCTAAATATTTAGTTTTAAGACAAATATTTATTTAACAAGCTAAATATTTGATTCGTAAATAAAGTATTCAGCTAGCACCATGCTAAATATCTAACAAACTAAATATTTAGCTAGTAACAATATTTATTTAACAAACTGAATATTTAGCTAGCAACAATATTTATTTAACAAGCTAAATATTTAGTTTTAAGACAAATATTTATTTAACAAGCTAAATATTTGATTCGTAAATAAAGTATTCAGCTAGCACCATGCTAAATATCTAACAAACTAAATATTTAACTAGCATCAATATTTATTTAACAAACTGAATATTTAGCTAGCAACAATATTTATTTAACAAGCTAAATATTTTGTTTTAAGATAAATATTTATTTAACAAGCTAAATATTTGATTTGCAAATAAAGTATTCAGCTAGCACCATGCTAAATATCTAACAAACTAAATATTTAACTAGCATCAATATTTATTTAACAAACTGAATATTTAGCTAGCAACAATATTTATTCAACAAACTAAATAAGCAATATATATTTGTTAAAAAGATATTTAGCTTGATGCTAGCTAAATATGTAGTTAGCCTGGTACTAGCTAAATATTTAATCGGCAAATCAAATATTTAGTTTACTAAATATTTATTTTTTAAACTAATTATTTAGCTTTAAATATTAAGCTTGCTGACAATTATTTTTTTAACTGACTAACAATGAACTAAAATGTAGTTCAGAACTTACTTTCTAACAATCAATGAATGACATAGTGAAAAGAATTGCTTGGAAAAAATAACTTCCTTACTTTTCTCTTAAAAAATGCTAAACATCCAAAAATTTTGACAGCTTTAACTTTACAAAAGGGCACCCCATATTCTTAGACCGTCTGAACATCACATCCACTGATCTCTGTTTATTCCCTGGATGGCTGATTGATCGTCGGTAGTGAGGGTGAAGTGAAGCCACCGGCCCGCCATATTGGTACTCCCTAATTAGACCGTCACAATGTAAACAATCCGTGCGCTACAGCATCGAGCAACCATGATGTTCTCATTTTCAGGGACTGAAGACTTTTAAAATAAACATAAATTCATCACTTTGACACAGACTGGCTGTTTCACAGCATCAGTAGATTAACTTAGAATAAATAAATAGGCAGATCTCATTGCATAGTTATTATGAAGTCAATGAAGTCTATAAATCATGTAATATAACATATTATACAAATAAATCACAAAATTAATGTGTTAATGGAGCAAAATGATAAAGATGAGCCAAAAGAGCTAAATTGATGATGAACATGTAATATACATGGATTTATTACATTGTTACAGTGATTAATTACATTAAAGGCATTTTTATGGCGCAAACACCATGAGAGTGGGGAGTACCAAGATGGCGGCAGGTGGCTTCAGTTTTTTCCGTCTACCAGCAATCCAGTGAATAAATAGAGATCAGCGGTCACATTAAAGGTATAGAGGACGATCTTTTATTTCCAGGTGGATCACCCAAATAAGTGGACATCATGTCACAGCGGCCCGCTGTCGCCATAGGCTGCCGCTAACCAAAACAGACGACTAAATCCAAATGGTCCAAATGGTCAGTTCACTATAAAGTCCCCGCTCTATAGAGAGGTGGCCAAAGAAGCTGCTAAGTAGCGATGCTAACCCTCAGTTAACATTGGGACCAAAACATTAACCTGCAAACCTTCCCTTCAACTTAAAGGTATAGAGGAAGATCTTTTATTTCCGGGTGGATCATCTCAATCAGTGGTCCTCCTAACTGTCAATCATTCTGGTGATCTGTTTATGTAAGGCCGTCCTACGCGCTCGTCCTCCGTTAGCTTTTTCTGCGTTCTTTGAAAATGGCAGAGAGTCGGAAGGGAAAAAGTGTCTGCGAAGTGCATGAGAAAAGAAAGGCCTCAGAAGAGGCAGATGTATCCCAGAATGCTTTGCACAGAGAGCTCTCCTCGCAAAGCATTATGGGATTTGCTGTCGCCAACTGACAGCGGCGACTATTAACAAAGATGGCAGTGGGGGCGGAGTCATCCTCTGTCCAGTTGGTCAGTTGACTGAGTTCACTATAAAGTTCACTATAAAGTTTGCGCTTTATATAAAACAGCAACTTTTAAACTTGCAGCCTAATTAATTTTTTTAAAGAAACGTGGCTCCTGCTCTGGGCTCCTCTTACATGCAGGGCGGGGGAGGCTCCTCTTTGCTGATTGGTGGGTTTATCAGCCAATCAGAGGGCTACCTCATCCTTGCCTTTCTGCTCTCTTTCTACCACGTTTTTCCTTCCACCAAACTTTCCATTAAAGTTGACTATTTATGTAAAAAACAGACTTTTAATAAAGAAAAGTGGGAAATTCTTCTTATTGCTATGGAAACCTTCATTTTCTGAATGAAATCCAGCTGATGGGAGATAACATATCAGAGTGACGGAGCAAACAGCTGGATAAACAGACCTGCAGCTCCAGGCCTGATGCCTTCCTAACCCTCCCGGACAGAACCTGCGCTGGATCCGAACCCACCCTGCTGCTCCTGCTGCTCCTCCCTGCAGCTCAGACAAAGGATGCATGCAGCTCCTCACCTCTGATCGGCTCTCTAATGGCGGAGCTCCGCAGGCCTCACCGGCTCCATCCTACTCCTCCAGGCGGGCTGGGAGCGCTCCAGATCCGGGGAAGGGGAGCTGCTGTCAGCCTAACCCTTCCGTTCCGGCCTGCTTCCTGCTGCAGGGAGAGAACTGCCAGCGGCCCGGGAAGGCATCACAGCAGGGCCTGGATGAAGGATCCACGGTGGGAAAACATCGGGATGAAGCCCACCCTCCTCCTCCTGCTCCTGCTGCTCCTCCCCCCGGGTTCCTAACCTGCGGGCCGCGGGCTCTGCGGGGCCGCGCTGCTCGCTCTGAGGGCCCCTGGTTTCACAGGTGTCAGACATGTTGGATTTACTGCAGGTGAAACATTTCATTACTGGAATCACAAACATTCAGGTAACAGAAAAATACATTTCCAACGGAAAATTCTATGGAGCGCCAAAGTTCAACAGTCCTCAATTAGGAGCAAAATTTATGGTTAATTAGCGCATTTTAGGAGAGAAATAAGGCAGTTATTTTCCCTATGTGATCCATTCGTTTATAGAAATCTTACTTTGTTAAATAAATATTTAGCTCCAAACTAAATATTTACTTTGCTAATTTTTAAATATTTAGCTTGTTTTAATAAATATTTAGCTCCAAATTAAACATTTAGTTGGCTCATTTTTAAATATTTAGCTTGTTTTAATAAATATTTAGCTCCAAATTAAACATTTAGTTTGTTAAATATTTCACAAACGAAATATTTTCTTTGTTAAATAAACATGAAGCTACAAATAAAATATAAAGCAGTCGTTGCTATGGCAACACAGCGATGCCCCATGGGCGTGGCTGTAGCTCTGCTAGTGCAGGTCAGCTTTAAAGATTTGCCCGTTTCCTAAAACGGATGTAAACACTCAAACAAAACTGTTTCAAAGAGGACCTTCAGTTTTTTCAGTTTTATAGAGATTCCCTGGCTTTTATTTTGGATTGGAGGTCCATGCCTGAAACTATTGAACGTTCTTCTATTCGTTTCCAGTCACACGTCACTTTTGGCAGAACCTACATATTTGGGTAAGTAACAAAATAGATAATATAACACATTTTGGGATACATTAAATAGTACCTTAGACATTTAAAGGGAAAAATAAAAAAACTTTTTAACAGGTTTCAAAAACAAACTCAAAATCTTCTATTCATCTTTATGTCATTATCAGTCTGTTTATTGTCAACCATAAATTACATTGTAATTGAGATTTCAGTTCAGTACAAACCGTTCATCGTTCCCCGATGATCGGTTTGACGAAATAAACTAGAAAAACATTTGCCAAAAATATCCCAGATTATATTACTAACTGTAGTTCTTCTTTCCACCAGTAGGTGGAGACACGTTCACACGAAGCTTCATGAACTGTTTGGATCGTTGAAGCAATTAGGTCAAACGGTTCCATGAGGCTTCATCTCACCATCGCTACTAACCGCTAATGTGGCTAGTTCTACTACGACGGAGTATTAGGGCCAGGCTACAGATTTTTTTATTTAAGGAATAAAGTCGTAAAATTACAAGAACAAAGTCGTGACATTAAGAGAATAGTCATAAAATGACAAGAATAAAGTCGTAACATTATGAAAATAAAGTCATAATTATGAGAATAACGTCGTAAAATTACAAGAATAAAATTACGAGAATAAAGTCATAACATTACGAGAATAGTCATAAGATTACGAGAATTAAGTCGTAACATCACGAGAATAAAGTCGTAACATTACGAGAATAAAGTCGTAGCATTATGGGAATAAAGTCTTAAAATTACGAGAATAAAGTCGTAACATCACGAGAATAGTCATACAATTACAAGAATAAAGTCGTAACATTACGAGAATAGTCATAAAATTATGAGAATAAAGTCGTAACATTACGAGAATAGTCATAAGATTACGAGAATGAAGACGTAACATTACAAGAATAGTTATAAAATTACAAGAATAAAGTCGTAACATTACGAGAATAGTCATAAGATTACGAGTATAAAGTCGTAACATTACGAGAATAGTCATAAGATTACGAGAATAAAGTCATAACATTACGAGAATAGTCATAAAATTATGAGAATAAAGTCGTAACATTACGGGAATAGTCATAAGATTACGAGAATAAAGTCGTAACATTACGAGAATAGTCATAAAATTATGAGAATAAAGTCGTAAGATTACGAGAATAGTCATAAAATTATGAGAATAAAGTCGTAAGATTACGAGAATAGTCATTAAATTACAAGAATAAAGTCGTAACATTACGAGAATAGTCATAAGATTACGAGTATAAAGTCGTAACATTACGAGAATAGTCATAAAATTACGAGAATAAAGTCGTAACATTACGAGAATAGTCATAAGATGACAAGAATAAAGTCGTAACATTATGAAAATAAAGTCATAATTATGAGAATAACGTCGTAAAATTACAAGAATAAATTAGTATAATTACAAGAATAAAATTACGAGAATAAAGTCATAACATTACGAGAATAGTCATAAGATTACGAGAATTAAGTCGTAACATCACGAGAATAAAGTCGTAACATTACGAGAATAAAGTCGTAGCATTATGGGAATAAAGTCTTAAAATTACGAGAATAAAGTCGTAACATCACGAGAATAGTCATACAATTACAAGAATAAAGTCGTAACATTACGAGAATAGTCATAAAATTATGAGAATAAAGTCGTAACATTACGAGAATAGTCATAAGATTACGAGAATGAAGACGTAACATTACAAGAATAGTTATAAAATTACAAGAATAAAGTCGTAACATTACGAGAATAGTCATAAGATTACGAGTATAAAGTCGTAACATTACGAGAATAGTCATAAGATTACGAGAATGAAGACGTAACATTACAAGAATAGTTATAAAATTACAAGAATAAAGTCGTAACATTACGAGAATAGTCATAAGATTATGAGTATAAAGTCGTAACATTACGAGAATAGTCATAAAATTACGAGAATAAAGTCATAACATTACGAGAATAGTCATAAGATTACGAGAATAAAGTCGTAACATTACGAGAATAGTCATAAAATTATGAGAATAAAGTCGTAAGATTACGAGAATAGTCATAAAATTATGAGAATAAAGTCGTAAGATTACGAGAATAGTCATTAAATTACAAGAATAAAGTCGTAACATTATGGAAATAAAGTTGTATTTTATAACAACTCTTCCCAGAATCCCTTTCTTCCCTAAAATGAGGAATGTGGAGCATCAAGTGAAGTTCTACTATAGCATCGGTTTGACCAATCAGGAAATCTTTTAGCAGCAACATCAAACTGGGCAGGATGTCAAAGTGGACTCTGGTTGCTGATTGGTGGAGCTGGTCGGCCGTCATCTGCTGGGCGGAGCTCCAAGCTTTCTTTCTGAAACTGATTGATGTTTGATGACTTAATTCTGATAATTTCACGACTTTAAGGATAAAAACTCTGTAGCCTGGCCCTAATACTGTGGTATTCTACATACCCGCCCCCTTTCAAAAGACAAGAAAGGAATAAAACAGGTTTTATCCTACAAATAAATGAAAGTTAAAACTATTTCAGAAAGATTGTAAGAAAAAAAAGCAACTCAGTCGATTTTTATAAACGATCAAAACTTTAATACATCAAAACATCAGAGTCCAGTTCCAAACAAGTCACTGGATTATTTACAAACTAATTCACATCTATACAGGTCGTCCATTCTGCTAAGGGGCCAGAAATGGCCCCCAGGGGCCTCCGCTTTGGACACAGAGAGGCTGAGCCTTTTCTCTGATTCAGAGCATGGGTGGGTGGAGCCGGCCGTCACACGGTGCAGTGAGCTCTGAGGATCTGCCGCGCCATCTCCAGGTTCCCGCTGTTCTGGTAGATCAGCGACAGGTTGAAAGCAATCTCCCTCCTCAGATCCACCTGATCGTCCGCAATGCCCTGGATAAAAACAGAAAGAAAATCAGCGGAGAGGAAGAAGCCTGAAGTCGGTCTCTGAGCAGTTGGCCTACATCCAGCTTCCACGCAGGCAGGGAAAGCGCCTTCTGGTAGTAATGGATGGCCAGGTGGGCCAGGCCCATCTGGTGCAGGGCCCGGCCCAGGTTGAACATGCTCTCCTGACACTCCCCGCGCAGCTCCACGTAGCGCCACAGGAAGGAGAAGCCCTGCAGGATGAGAGCGTGGCGCCGGGCCACGTACTTCTGGGACGCCATGTGGAAGAAGGTGAGGCCCACGTAGAGGCTGTGCAGGGGGTTTTCAGGCTGGTTCTTCAGGGCCTGGACATACTGGCCTGAAACACATCAAACCAACAGCCTTCAGAGGACGGCTTCTGCAGCTACCAGGTAAACACCGCTGGTCACTGCGGTAACATGGCGGCTCCTAGGGGCCACGCTGAGCTCCCTATGCTAAAGGAAGCATCCAGCTTCCTCTTCCTTTCATCATGGCCGCCGCTACAGTCCTCACCCTCTGATGGATTCAGATCTTCCATCACTGCAGCTAATCTGGCTGACCTTTGACTTCTGATTGAGAAATGATCCAAGATTTACAGTCTGACGTTCAACCGTCTGGTTCCAGCGTCTGGTTCCACGGCGTGGTTCCAGTGTCTGGTTCCAGTGTCTGGTTCCAACGTCTGGTTCCACGGCGTGGTTCCAGCGTCTGGTTCCAGCGTCTGGTTCCACGGCGTGGTTCCAGCGTCCGGTTCCACGGCGTGGTTCCAGCGTCCGGTTCCACGGCGTGGTTCCAGCGTCCGGTTCCACGGCGTGGTTCCAGCGTCCGGTTCCACGGCGTGGTTCCAGCGTCCGGTTCCACGGCGGGGTTCCAGCGTCCGGTTCCACGGCGGGGTTCCAGCATCCGGTTCCACGGCGGGGTTCCAGCGTCCGGTTCCACGGAGTGGTTCCAGCGTCTGGTTCCACGGCGTGGTTCCAGCGTCTGGTTCCACGGCGTGGTTCCAGCGTCTGGTTCCACGGCGTGGTTCCAGCGTCTGGTTCCACGGTGTGGTTACAGCGTCTGGTTCCACGGCGTGGTTCCAGCGTCTGGTTCCACGGCGTGGTTCCAGTGTCTGGTTCCAGTGTCTGGTTCCACGGCGTGGTTCCAGTGTCTGGTTCCAGTGTCTGGTTCCACGGCGTGGTTCCAGCGTCTGGTTCCACGGCGTGGTTCCAGTGTCTTGTTCCAGTGTCTGGTTCCAGCGTCTGGTTCCACGGCGTGGTTCCAGCGTCTGGTTCCACGGCATGGTTCCAGCGTCTGGTTCCACGGCGGGGTTCCAGCGTCTGGTTCCACGGAGTGGTTCCAGCGTCTGGTTCCACGGCGTGGTTCCAGCGTCTGGTTCCACGGCGTGGTTCCAGCGTCTGGTTCCACGGCGTGGTTCCAGCGTCTGGTTCCACGGCGTGGTTCCAGCGTCTGGTTCCACGGCGTGGTTCCAGCGTCTGGTTCCACGGCGTGGTTCCAGCGTCTGGTTCCACGGCGTGGTTCCAGCGTCTGGTTCCATGGCGTGGTTCCAGCGTCTGGTTCCACGGCGTGGTTCCAGTGTCTGGTTCCAGCGTCTGGTTCCACGGCGTGGTTCCAGCGTCTGGTTCCACGGCGTGGTTCCAGTGTCTGGTTCCACGGCGTGGTTCCAGTGTCTGGTTCCAGCGTCTGGTTCCACGGCGTGGTTCCAGTGTCTGGTTCCAGTGTCTGGTTCCAACGTCTGGTTCCACGGCGTGGTTCCAGCGTCTGGTTCCACGGCGTGGTTCCAGCGTCTGGTTCCACGGCGTGGTTCCAGCGTCTGGTTCCACGGCGTCGTTCCAGTGTCTGGTTCCAACGTCTGGTTCCACGGCGTGGTTCCAGTGTCTGGTTCCACGGCGTGGTTCCAGCGTCTGGTTCCACGGCGTGGTTCCAGCGTCTGGTTCCATGGCGTGGTTCCAGCGTCTGGTTCCACGGCGTGGTTCCAGTGTCTGGTTCCAGCGTCTGGTTCCACGGCGTGGTTCCAGCGTCTGGTTCCACGGCGTGGTTCCAGTGTCTGGTTCCACGGCGTGGTTCCAGTGTCTGGTTCCAGTGTCTGGTTCCAGCGTCTGGTTCCACGGCGTGGTTCCAGTGTCTGGTTCCAGTGTCTGGTTCCAACGTCTGGTTCCACGGCGTGGTTCCAGCGTCTGGTTCCACGGCGTGGTTCTAGTGTCTGGTTCCACGGCGTGGTTCCAGTGTCTGGTTCCAGTGTCTGGTTCCACGGCGTGGTTCCAGTGTCTGGTTCCAGCGTCTGGTTCCACGGCGTGGTTCCAGTGTCTGGTTCCACGGCGTGGTTCCAGTGTTTGGTTCCAGTGTCTGGTTCCAGTGTCTGGTTCCACGGCGTGGTTCCAGCGTCTGGTTCCACGGCGTGGTTCCAGTGTCTGGTTCCAGCGTCTGGTTCCAGCGTCTGGTTCCACGGCGTGGTTCCAGCGTCTGGTTCCACGGCGTGGTTCCAGTGTCTGGTTCCACGGCGTGGTTCCAGTGTCTGGTTCCAGTGTCTGGTTCCACGGCGTGGTTCCAGTGTCTGGTTCCAGTGTCTGGTTCCACGGCGTGGTTCCAGCGTCTGGTTCCAGTGTCTGGTTCCACGGCGTGGTTCCAGTGTCTGGTTCCAGCGTCTGGTTCCACGGCGTGGTTCCAGTGTCTGGTTCCACGGCGTGGTTCCAGTGTCTGGTTCCAGCGTCTGGTTCCAGCGTCTGGTTCCACGGCGTGGTTCCAGTGTCTGGTTCCAGTGTCTGGTTCCACGGCGTGGTTCCAGCGTCTGGTTCCACGGCGTGGTTCCAGTGTCTGGTTCCACGGCGTGGTTCCAGTGTCTGGTTCCAGCGTCTGGTTCCAGCGTCTGGTTCCACGGCGTGGTTCCAGTGTCTGGTTCCAGTGTCTGGTTCCAGTGTCTGGTTCCACGGCGTGGTTCCAGCGTCTGGTTCCACGGCGTGGTTCCAGTGTCTGGTTCCAGCGTCTGGTTCCAGCGTCTGGTTCCACGGCGTGGTTCCAGCGTCTGGTTCCACGGCGTGGTTCCAGTGTCTGGTTCCAGTGTCTGGTTCCACGGCGTGGTTCCAGTGTCTGGTTCCACGGCGTGGTTCCAGCGTCTGGTTCCAGTGTCTGGTTCCACGGCGTGGTTCCAGTGTCTGGTTCCAGCGTCTGGTTCCACGGCGTGGTTCCAGCGTCTGGTTCCACGGCGTGGTTCCAGTGTCTGGTTCCAGTGTCTGGTTCCACGGCGTGGTTCCAGTGTCTGGTTCCAGTGTCTGGTTCCACGGCGTGGTTCCAGTGTCTGGTTCCACGGCGTGGTTCCAGCGTCTGGTTCCATGGCGTGGTTCCAGTGTCTGGTTCCAGCGTCTGGTTCCAGCGTCTGGTTCCACGGCGTGGTTCCAGTGTCTGGTTCCACGGCGTGGTTCCAGTGTCTGGTTCCAGTGTCTGGTTCCACGGCGTGGTTCCAGTGTCTGGTTCCAGTGTCTGGTTCCACGGCGTGGTTCCAGTGTCTGGTTCCACGGCGTGGTTCCAGTGTCTGGTTCCACGGCGTGGTTCCAGTGTCTGGTTCCAGTGTCTGGTTCCAGCGTCTGGTTCCAGTGTCTGGTTCCACGGCGTGGTTCCAGTGTCTGGTTCCACGGCGTGGTTCCAGTGTCTGGTTCCAGTGTCTGGTTCCACGGCGTGGTTCCAGTGTCTGGTTCCAGTGTCTGGTTCCACGGCGTGGTTCCAGTGTCTGGTTCCACGGCGTGGTTCCAGTGTCTGGTTCCAGTGTCTGGTTCCACGGCGTGGTTCCAGCGTCTGGTTCCACGGCGTGGTTCCAGGGTCTGGTTCCACGGCGTGGTTCCAGCGTCTGGTTCCACGGCGTGGTTCCAGTGTCTGGTTCCAGTGTTTTTGTTCCACTGTGTTGTTCCAGTGTGCGGTTCTGCTGCGTGTTACCTAGCGCGTGCTTGAAGCTCCCACAAACGGCGGCGTTGTGTCCACACAGAACGCACAGAGCCGGGTTGTCCGGGTGCTTGAGCAGCAGCCGCAGACAGTAGCGATGGTGGCGCTGGTGCTCGGAGGACAACGTCAGCTGGAGAGAGTTAAAAAGACAGCCGGGTCAGAACCACGGGGCGACCCGCTGCAGGACACACAGCTCAGTAGAGATACCTGGTGGAAAATGTTCCAGAACTGAGGAAAATTAAGGTTTTCTACCAGCATCAACCTGTTGGAGAAAAAATAAACAGAGAGCTATAAAAACCATAAAGGTCAAAGGTCACCAGCAGACTCTGCTTTGACCCCCCCCCATCCGGACCTCATGTAGTTGTACGCCTTGAAGAAGTCCTGGTTGAGGATGGTGGCGGAGAGGCCGAAGAACTCCAGCTCCTTCCTCCTGGGCTTGCTGTCGTAGAAGGAGTAGAACTCCATGGCCGACTCCACCAGGAGGTCCGTCTCCCCGTAGCGCCGCAGCTCGCACAGCCCCAGCAGGCAGCTGAGCAGCAGCTGCCACCAGTCCTCCTTGGAGAGAAAGTTGGTTTTACCTGCAAACACACAGAGGAACGTTCTGGAACGTCAGAAAGACTCTGGAACCTGCTGGTTCCCATAGTCTCCTCATCAGGGTTTAATCCAACATTCTGGAACGTCAGAAAGACTCTGGAACCTGCTGGTTCCCATAGTCTCCTCATCAGGGTTTAATTCAACATCCGACGATGGTGTCCTATAAACTAAAGCACAACTAAGATACGGAACAAACTGAATTTCTGTCCCAAAAAACTATTCATCACCTTATTTACCTGCTCAATTTAACGCCAAATAGCCCAATTCGTTACGTTTTTGCAGCATTAGCACATTTTCAAACATATAGATTCTGTTTTACCTTATAAAACATCTAATGTGTCCTCTATAAGCTAATAACAGCAGATTATTTTTATTTCCGCGGTCTAAAGGTGTTTGTTGGTCAAACTACACTGCAAAAATGAAAACAAATGTCTTAAATTACGTGTATTTATCCTTAATTAAGCAATAAATAAGAATATGTTGAATATTTTTTTTATTTCGATAATAAAGTCATGATATGAGAATAAAGTCTTAACATTTTAAAGTAATAAAATTACAAATAAAGTCGTGACATTACAAAAATTAAGTTGGAAATTTATAAGAAATAAGTCATACATATACGAGAATAAAGTTGTAACGTTAAGAGCATAAAGTTGTAACATTACGAGAATAAAGTCGTAACATTGCGCAAATAAATTCATAAAATTACGCGAATAAAGTCGTAACGCTACGAGAATAAAATCATAAAATTATGCGAATAAAGTCGTAACGCTATGTGAATAGTCATAAAATTACGCAAATAGTCGTAACATTACCAGAATAAAGTTGTAACATTATGAGAATGAAGTCGTAATGTTACAAAAATAAAGTCGTAACATTACGAGAATAAAGTCGTAACATTGCGAGAATAAATTAATAAAATTACGTGAATAAAGTGGCAATGTTACGAGAATAAAATCATAAAATGACGCGAATAAAGTCGTAACGCTACGAGAATAAAGTCATAAAATTACGCACATAGTCATAACAATACGAGAATAAAGTTGTAACATTACGAGAATAAAGTCGTAACATTACGAGAATAAAGTCGTAACATTGCGAAAATAAATTAATAAAATTACATGAATAAAGTGGCAATGTTACGAGAATAAAATCATAAAATGACGTGAATAAAGTCGTAACGCTACGAGAATAAAGTCATAAAATTACGCAAATAGTCATAACAACACGAGAATAAAGTTGTAACATTATGAGAATGAAGTCGTAATGTTACAAAAATAAAGTCGTAACATTACGAGAATAAAGTCGTAACATTGAGAGAATAAATTAATACAATTACGTGAATAAAGTGGTAATGTTACGAGAATAAAATCATAAAATGACGCGAATAAAGTCATAACGCTACGAGAATAAAGTTGTAACATTATGAGAATGAAGTCGTAATGTTACAAAAATAAAGGCGTAACATTACGAGAGTAAAGTAACATTATGAGATTAACTTGAATTGTCATTTTGTATAGCGAGTGTATACAAAATTTTGTTTAGTAGAGCTTTGGAGAGAGGAATTAAACATTTCCATTCCATAAAATGCAGCAGTGATCAAATGTAATAAGGTTGTAACATTACGAGACATTATTCTTGTAATGTTTCGACTTTATTCTGGAAATAAAAAACAAATAAATAAATCTCTAGGCTGGCCCTAATACTCTGTCGCACGCTATAATTCCTGTCGTTTGCGAATTAACACCTGCTTCTTCTTCTCTTCAATAAAACAGTGAATCTCAGACGAACATTTTTAGCCCACAGATAAGAACGCTGCGAAAAATGTTAATCTAAATAAGTAATTTTTTCTTGAACTGAGGAGGTGAGACACTTTGCCAATGGAACAAGACATTTAAACACCTTTAGAATAAGAAAAAAAAGAAAAACAATTGCATTGTCTTATTTCAAGTATATATTATCTAATCATTTTATTTTAAGAGTAAAAATATTCTACTGGCATATAATCTTATTTAGTTGCTCAAATAAAGGCCAAATATACCTAATTTAAGACATTGTACTCATTTTTGCAGAGTAGTTTGACCAACAAACACTTCTATTGGAGGACCATCTTATTTAACGACATAAATTAGCCCTAAATATACTTCATTTAAGAAATGACGACTTGTTTCTAGATGTTTTTGCAGTGTAGAACTAGAATACATCCTGTAGAATCTGAACGGATCATTTTTCTGGTCCCTCTGAGGTATGAAAGCATGATGGGATGTGAGCCAAATCAGAGGGGTCTAGTTTACGCTGTGGAGGCGTTTGGATGTCCCTACGGTCCACTTCTACCTACACATGTTGTCCAGGTAGGCGCTCTCGTGGTCGGCGATCTCCAGCTGCAAGTCCTGAACCTTCACCAGCCTCAGGTGGCTCCTTCCTTCCAGCGTCACGGAGCGGACGCACACCTTGGCTCGCTGCATGGCGACCTGTAAAACAAACAGGGTCAGGATGCTGCGGACGCCATGGGGGGAGGTAGGTGGCGTGGATGGGGATCTACCTTCAGCAGCATGGAGATCATGGTGATCATGGCGTCCAGGTAGTCCTCCATCTGGCCCTGCGTCTTCAGCAGCGTGGACCGGTGCAGCAGCAGCTTCAGCTCCTGCGATGGCGACAGGGGTCAGAATGGCCGAGGGGACGGGAAAGGCGGAGCCAAGTTTGAGAGGGACGGACCTTCTGGGCAGCGGACGAGTCCTGCGCCAGCGTGTCGCTGTCATACATGGGCTCCAGCGCCTTCAGAGCGCGGTCCATCCGCCCCAGCTGCTGCTGCAGCGTGGCCAGAGACAGCCGGGCCTCCAGGTGCAGCGGCGCCATCTCCACCACCTTGCTGTAGCTGTCCGCCGCCTCCTCCAGGCGGCCCAGGGCCTTCAGACACTCTGAACAAGTCATAAACATTACGAAAATAAAGCTGCAAGGTTAGGAGAATAAAGTCGGAACATTTTGACGATAAAGTCATAAACATTACGAGTATTGTTAGGATAATTATCATTGCAGATGTGTGAGTTTATCACACCCTGGTGTTGGCTGCCTGTTGCGCGTCAGAACTGAAGATTTAATCTAATCTAATCTAATCCTCTGTCTGGATATACAGTTATAATCTTCATTCTTTACCTGGCAAAGATGTGGAAATGGAATGAGAGCGGCGTCCTTCAGCTAAGAACGAATTGTAATATTTTAATAACGCTGGAGCCATGGATGGCTAATCATCTGCTAACGTGTACGATGTGATGATGTGGCAGAATGGAGATGTAGAAAATGCCTTTTTAATTGTTAATCAGGGCCACTTCCTGCGAGGAGAGCCTGGAGGCCCATTCTGTGACAAATGGTGTTTCCGCATGGTTTTTTAATAAAAGTTATGAAATGTTATTTAAAGAGTTTGTTAAAGATAGACTGTGTGTATGATGCTCTATCTTTCCGGTTCTTTTCCCTGAAAAGAGATCAAACACTTTGTAACAAATGTATCAGATAACCAGGAGACATGACAACAGATTATGATAGAAACTGTTACGAGAATAAAGTAGTAGCATTATGAGAATAAAGTCGTAGCGTTACGAGAATAAAGTCTTAGCATTACGAGAATAAAGTCGTAGCATTACGAGAATAAAGTCTTAGCATTACGAGAATAAAGTTGTAACGTTACGAGATTAAAGTCATAAATTTATAAGAATAGTCATAGCATTACGAGAATAAAGTCGTAGCATTACGAGAATAAAGTCGTAACGCTATGAGAATAATGTCTTGCAGGGGGTGTCAGCCGGCGCGTCCCTACCTGCGTGCCGCAGCCACACCACGGCCAGGTCGTACTTTTCGGAGAGGACGAGGGCTGACAGCAGCGGCAGCGCCGAGGTGTACCTGCCCTGCTCCAGGTAGGCCTCAGCTACGTCCAGGTACAGGTCCCCCACCTCCTCGGGACTCTGCTCCACCAGAGTCGACACCAGGCCCTAAGAAGAAGAACAGCCTGGGCTTAGCCGGCAGGATCTTCTGGATCTTTTGGACGGAGGAGGACAGCTTGTCCTCACCTCAGGAGGTCTGAAGGCTCCCAGGTGGATGAGGCAGACGATCAGCTTTGCCCTCAGGTCCACAGGGACGCTGTCTGGGACCTGGACGTCCACAATCTCTCCTGGAGGAGAACAAGCAAAGAAGTGACTTCACCCAAACCAGGTCGCTTCCTCTGGTGTTAATGCAGCTGAACCCAAAGGCGGTCAGAGGAGGAAAACCGTACAGGTCCATTAGGACCGCTCTATAATAAACAGACCCACAGAGGACGGTGTCTGTCTGTCTTTATAGAACCAGAGATGTTACAGCAGCTGGTGTTAGCAGGCTCCACTGGACCAATGTTGCCAACGTAGCGCCTATGTAGTCAAATCTACAACATTTATTTCAGAAAAACACCTAGCCCAAAATCTAGCGACTTCTTTCTGTGTTAATGGAGACTCTTTTCTGTTTTTGTTGTTCAATAAAAGTACGTTTTAACATCATTTGAGGTGAGAACATTCTACTTTAAACTTCACTATATGAAACATTTACTGATTTAATACGTAATTAAAATAATAAAATAAAAGCTTCTTATGTTGAGAGGACCGTGGCAAACAGCGGAGCCCCGAAGCCATGGCTAATGTTAGCCCGTCTGCGGCGGCCAGGGCTAACGTCAGCCCGTCTCAGCGGCCAGGGCTGACGTCAGCCCGTCTGCGGCGGCCAGGGCTAACGTCAGCCCGTCTGCGGCGGCCAGGGCTAACGTCAGCCCGTCTGTGGCGGCCAGGGCTAACGTCAGCCCGTCTGCGGCGGCCAGGGCTAACGTCAGCCCGTCTGCGGCGGCCAGGGCTAACGTCAGCCCGTCTGCGGCGGCCAGGGCTAACGTCAGCCCGTCTGCGGCGGCCAGGGCTAACGTCAGCCCGTCTGCGGCGGCCAGGGCTAACGTCAGCCCGTCTGCGGCGGCCAGGGCTAACGTCAGCCCGTCTGCGGCGGCCAGGGCTAACGTTAGCCCGTCTGCGGTGGCCAGGGCTAACGTTAGCCCATCTGCGGTGGCCAGGGCTAACGTTAGCCCGTCTGATCTGACGGTTCTATGTCTTTCCAAGTTGAACTTCCACTGTATCTATCGGATGCTTTCTGCGGGAAACAGGAAATGGGATCCAGAGGTGGCTGAAAACCCAGGAGTGAGCAGTGGTGGCGCCACCTGCTGGAAGAAAGAAGGAGCTACAATGATGCTTCAGACAGAGACATGAAGTTCTACAAACCCAAATGATACAAATAGGATAAAAAAAGCCATAAGAGGTTCTGATCCATTAATTAATGGATCAGAACTGAAGCTGAGAACAGGGTAACAGGAACCTGATGTTCTGGAGATCCGGGTCTGGTTCTGAAACAAGCTAAGCGGCGCCTAGAGATGAGATCAATCCAGGGTTGTTGGAGCGGGCCGAGGCTCCAGAATCTCTACCAGAACTAGAAATCTCCAACACCAGTCAGAATGAAACTTGGACCCGTTGCGGTTTATTTTTTGGAGACCTGAGTGGAACTCACCACTGTCCTCGGAGTCCCGGCTGGACTTTGGTTCCTCCTCTTCCTGTTGCCCCTCGGTCCCCGGCTCTCTCTGAGCGGCGCCTTCTGGCGAGGACTCGGCCCGAATCAACAAGATGTCTGTAAATTTCACCAGAACCTGGACAAACAGAGACACAGACCCATCCTGAGGACAGAGCCTCCTTCCTCTGAAAGCAGAACAGAACCGGACTCACGGATACGGACCTGCAGGGCCTCCTTGAACTGCCGACTGCAGATGTAGAGCTCGGCGGCCATGTTGACGAAGTCGTCGGTGACCAAGCCGGGGTGTCGGGTCAGAGCTTCTTCCACCACGCTGAGCGCCGACGGCAGGTCGTTGCTCTCATAGTAACTCCTGAAAGACCAGAACATGAGGCGCTGGCTCTCTGAGCCGCGGCGCGCGCACCAACATGTCCGTACTTAGCCATGTCCTTGGACAGCTGCATGAAGTGCTCTCCGTCCTCGTGAGCCAGCAGAGACAGGATCCTGCGGTAACCGTCCATGCACTGCTTGTGCTCCCCCAGACGCATGTGGAGGCTGGAGCGCTCCCACAGATAGCGCACATTGGTGGGGTCGTACTTGATGGCTGCGGGGACAGAGGAGTTGAGGATGGTGACAGTCTTGCATTAAACACCCAGAAAGTCTAGTTTCCACCGAGTGGTTCAGTCCACTTCAACGTTTTGAGTTTCCATTGTCAAACGGAGCCGTAGAACCAAACCAGAACGCACCGTTAATGTTCCTGTCTCTGAGGCCGCTCCAAAGAATAACGGTTCGGTTAGGATGGAGATACTGGCCTAATAGAGCCACCTATAGGCGGAGAAACCCGGACCACACCTCTCAGTGGAAACTAGGTGTAAGGAAAGATGTAAGTTGGGTCATCCAGTGTCTGACGAGCAGGAAAGCTTCTAACCCTCCACTAGGGCTGAAAGTATTAACCGGATTAATCTATTACTGTAATAACCGTCGACTAATTTAGCGATCTATTAATCTTTAACTGGAGTGTAGACACTTTAAAACATGCCTTTATGTGACAGAGCGACCAAGTTAGAGCAGCAATTATACAAAATTGGTCAAAAAAAAACAAACAAAAACAAAAAAAATCTATATATATATATATATACACACACACACTCACACATATATAAATACTTTGCATTTAGGATAATTAAGAAATCATTTTCATGTGTCAGTCTGCTCTATCCAGAACTCCTTAAGTGGAAAAGTTTGAGTTTCACCTGGTTTTATTTTGCAAAAGTCTTCCTTAAGGAAACCTTTGGCTGTCCAATTATTAATCATTACCGAAATATCATATTCAGGTTAATCAATTTGCGAAGCATTAGTTGCGACCCTATGCTCCAGCATCACTAGGAAAGTTTAAATGGCTACAAGCTAGAAGCTTTAGTCATTAATCCCGAGTGCCTGAAGCTTAGTCTACAGGAAAATGAATCCAGGTTTCTGTTAAACTTCCATCGATCTGCCGTCTGGACATGGACACCTCTTCAAACAGACCAGAGGTGGAACGTCCGGTGCGGTCAGAACCACCTAGAACTCTACCACCAACTCCCGGACGGTGGGAAAACAGGCATTCTGCGAAGCATCGGACGGAGACGGCTTACCTTTGCTGTAGCAGATGACGGCCTGTCGGATGTTGTCCTGCTCCAGAGACATTTCGGCCAGCCGGATCCACTCCTCGTGGTCTGACGGGTTGAGGTGGGCCGCAATCAGCCCAAACTGCAGCGCCTTGTCCACGTCTCCGTTGTCCTCATAGATCATGGCCAAAGTGGAAAACGGCTCGTAGGCCAGAGGAGCTGGAGACAGAAGGTCAGTCTGGATCATCTGAGAGATGGATTGTTGAGGTGAAGTCCAGCTACCCACACTGTCTGATGATCTCCATGCACATCAGGATGGCGTCCTCCTTCTCCCCTCGGGCGTAGCGGATGTTGGCCTCTCCCATCAGGCCCCTGAGCGCCTGAGGCAGCTTGCTGCCATGACGACGACCCTGGACAGAAGCGCAGTTGGAAGAAGTAACTACGGCACCCAAAAGGGGGCGGGGTGACCTCTGTTCTCTTCCTCACCTTCATGGACTTCCTGTTTTCTCGGTTGAGCTCCTGCTCCAGCTTGAAGACGTCTCCCACCGTCATATCTTCCTCCTCTTCATCCAGGCTGCTCAACAAGCTCCTTTTCCCTCCTCGCTTCGGCCTCCTTTTCCTCCCCTTGGTCGTCTCCTTCGCCGCCGCTTCCTCCTCCACTCTGTAATCCTGATCGCCTTCGTCGTCCACGTAGCTCAAGCTGTCCTCCTCTTCATCAGAGGAAGGCGCTGCTGCTGCCTCCCCCAGGATGGAAGCGAAGGCCTGCTGGACCACCGGGCTGACCCCGTCCTCTGAGGATAGACGACTCGTTAAAAAAGAGCTCAAAGGTCACAGAAAAGAGGCCTCAGCCAGGTTTCTGTTAAACCTCCATCCAGTGAGACAGGAAATGAATTTAACGAGCCCGAATCCTTAAAGACCTTCCGATAATTTAGACGCTAATGAAGGACAGCGGCTCTAGAGGACCGACTTAGTTCAGATCCTGATTTTCAAGGTTTGGTATTAATTCTTTCGTAACTGTTTTACACAAATACGCAATTCTTCAACATATCAATACTAATATTATATTAATATTAGCACTGCAACAATCGGATTAATCGATTATTGAAATAATTTCGTGATTGATTAATCGTTAACTGCAGTACATTGACTCTAATAGATGCCTTTACCAGATAGAGCGACAAACTCAGAGCAGGAATTAGATCAAAAATGTAAAAAAAAACAGGTTTTTCATTTAAGATAAAAAAAATGTTTTGGTCCATCAATATGCTCTATCCAGAACTCCTCAAGTTGAAAAGTTATAGTTTCACCAGGTTTAATTTCGTCAAACTTCTTTATTAAGGAACCTTTGACCTTCTGACTTTTTTTCTTAGAATTCTGCCTTTTATTTCACAGAATTCTGACTTTATTCTAAGAATTCTGACTTCAATCTCAGAATTCTGCCTTTTATTTCACAGAATTCTGACTTTATTCTAAGAATTCTGACTTCAATCTCAGAATTCTGCCTTTTATTTCACAGAATTCTGACTTTATTCTTAGAATTCCGACTTTAATCTCAGAATTCCGACTTTTATTTCACAGAATTATGACTTTAATCTCAGAATTCTGCCTTTTATTTCACAGAATTCTGACTTTAGTCTTAGAATTCTGACTTTAATCTCAGAATTCCGACTTTTATTTCACAGAATTATGACTTTAATCTCAGAATTCTGCCTTTTATTTCACAGAATTCTGACTTTAGTCTTAGAATTCTGACTTTAATCTCAGAATTCTGCCTTTTATTTCACAGAATTCTGACTTTAATCTCAGAATTCTGCCTTTTATTTCACAGAATTCTGACTTTAGTCTTAGAATTCCGACTTTAATCTCAGAATTCCGACTTTTATTTCACAGAATTATGACTTTAATCTCAGAATTCTGCCTTTTATTTCACAGAATTCTGACTTTAGTCTTAGAATTCTGACTTTAATCTCAGAATTCTGCCTTTTATTTCACAGAATTCTGACTTTAATCTCAGAATTCTGCCTTTTATTTCACAGAATTCTGACTTTAATCTCAGAATTCTGCCTTTTATTTCACAGAATTCTGACTTTTATTTCACAGAATTCTGACTTTATTCTTAGAATTCCGACTTTAATCTCAGAATTCCGACTTTTATTTCACAGAATTATGACTTTGATCTCAGAATTCTGACTTTTATTTCACAGAATTCTGTCTTTATTCATAGAATTCCGACTTTAATCTCAGAATTCCGACTTTTATGTCACAGAATTCTGACTTTATTCTTAGAATTCCGACTTTAATCTCAGAATTCCGACTTTTATTTCACAGAATTATGACTTTAATCTCAGAATTCTGACTTTATTCTTAGAATTCCGACTTTAATCTCAGAATTCTGACTTTATTCTTAGAATTCCGACTTTGATCTCAGAATTCTGACTTTTATTTCACAGAATTCTGTCTTTATTCTTAGAATTCCGACTTTAATCTCAGAATTCCGACTTTTATTTCACAGAATTCTGACTTTATTCTTAGAATTCCGACTTTGATCTCAGAATTCTGACTTTTATTTCACAGAATTCTGACTTTAATCTCAGAATTCTGACTTTTATTTCACAGAATTCTGATTTTAATCTCAGAATTCTGACTTTTATTTCACAGAATTCTGACTTTATTCTTAGAATTCCGACTTTAATCTCAAAATTCCGACTTTTATTTCACAGAATTCCACCTTTAATCTGAGAATTCTGACTTTAATCTCAGAATTCCGACTTTAATCTCAGAATTCCGGCTTTAATCTCAGAATTCCGGCTTTAATCTCAGAATTCCGACTTTAATCTCAGAATTCTGGCTTTAATCTCAGAATTGTGGATCTTAATGTAGATGGGCACCATGAAGGCAGAGATGTGGAGCTCTCAGCTTCAGTTATTTGGGAGGAACAGGAACACATTGGTGGAAAATGATGGAATTAGGCGAGTTTTTTCGTCCCTGAGGATCCCTGCTGATTCTGATTGATTAATGGAAGAACAGAAGGTGATTAAAACAAGAGAGCTAGTCTCTAAAACAGACATGGCTACGGCTGGATGCTAACATGTTTGTTAGCTGTCAGAATTTAGACAGAATTCTCAGAGAAAAAAACGTCAGAAGGTCAAAGGTTCCTTAATAAAGTATTTTTATTAAGAATTTCTCATATACTGAAATAAAATGTAAAAATCTATGTAATAAATGTTTTTTTTTTTTTTTTTAGTTGCCCTAATCCTCTTCTGTATGTTCCAGCAGTCCACACTTTCTCTGCTCTCTTTTTCTCATGGTCTTCTCCTTCTTTCCCATCGCCCGGCTTGCCACAGGTTTGCCTGCTGTGTCTAAAAGTAGCAGCAGCAGCAACCCAGACTGACAGCTCATTGGCTCATTTGGATCACGTGCAATCCTCATTAATTACAGCACTAATTAGGATCCTCACTAAATTAACGTCTCTGTAGGATAATGGCCCAATGCTGGTTCAGCTGGTGCTGAACTGGACAGCTCCTTCAGTGACAGACTGCTGCACCTTAAATGCACCAGGGAGCGTTGTCACAGATCCTTCCTCCCAGCAGCTGGAAGACTCTAGAACCACCACTGTTCCCAACAACCTCAACCAGTTTCTACCTTAGTCAGTTAAATAACCTGCTGCTGTCATTCTGCACATCCCTGATGTTGCTGCTGTTTTCAAACATCCATTACTGGAAAAATGTCCACAGCTGCATATTGGTTATTTATTCCCACTTTTATAATTTCTGCATTTTTGCTCCATTTCCGCTGATTCCCTTCAGCCAACAGTAACTGGCTGCAGCCGTCTGTGTTCAGAGCGTTTTTAGTGCGGGTTTTTTCCCGCCTCTCGGGGAAATATCACGGGATCGTCGCTTTGGGCAACGGCGTAAATATCGGTAAGCAGTAACAGCAGTGGCTTAGGGGCCCACGACTTCTTAGGGTCCCCATCACTGGTGGGCCCCCTACGTAGACTATCCGCCCTTAGAGCGTCCCCCACCCACTTCTACAGGTGGTGTAGAATAATCTAATCCAGATTAGACGTTTCTAGGCGTCGTGGTTCTTCAGTTAGAGTAGATTAAGGAAGCTGAGGGTAGGAAAAGTTAACAGAAGCCGACTTCAGCTTCGGGGAACGTCGGCGATGCGGTCGCCTCACCTATGGCTGCCGTGGTCTGAGCCGAGGTGGAAGGTTGGTTTTCTTCCTCTGCAGGATCTTCTGACTCCTGCTGAGACACAGAGAGACAGGAAGGTCAGGGACAGATGGACGGACAGGGACACCTTAGGCAGCAAACCTCCTCCTTCCACCAAGCTTTCCTCTTTCCTATCAGTTACTGTCTGTGACTCTGGTCCGCTGAGATCAAACAACCTGCTCCTTGTGATAAACACGCGTTACCATGGCGATAACAGCAGCTACTGGTACCGTAGCACTTTGAAAGGAAACAAGAAGCTAGGAAATTCCTCACAGGTCCTGGTGGGAAATGTTCCTGTTATCATCACAGTCATATCTGAGAGTACAGCCCGCATTGGCTGGAGTTACGCAGGAAGGACGGGCGCCATCTTGGGGAGGTCGACCTGCTGCTTTAAGCAGGACAGTAGAAGGATGCCTCAGCACTGCAGCGGACTTTAGTTTAAATCAACAGACTGTTGACATCAGAGCTCTAGAACTTCACTAATATAAATAAATATAAAGAATAAACTAAATGCTGCACTGTAAACTGTTTTTACAATACTGTGCATTTGAAGAATAAATAATTAGGCTGTGGATATTTTTACAGCATTTTACAGAACAGTTATAAAGAGATACACAATTTTATCTGTATTTATAATTATACACATATTTTACAACGGAGTATTAGGGCCAGGCTAGAGTAATTTTTTTTTATTTTAAGAATAAAGTCCTAATATTACAAGAATACAACCTTAAAATTACAAGAAAAAAGTCGTTATATTATGAGAATGAAGTCATTACGTGAATAAAGTTGAAATATTAATAATATAGTAATGTAATGTAGTAATATTAAAGTAATATTAAGAGAATAAAGTCGTAATATTAGTCGTAATGCTCCTCACACTGAGCTGCTGACCTCCCCAAGATGGCGCCCTGATGTGTGTGTTACTGACGTCCAGCTGCTAACTTCCACTAAACTGTCGCTTTATCCAGAGACTGACTGCTGCTAGAATGAATTAAAACTAGCGGATTGATTTCCTTCTTTCAGTATTTCATGGCTCCCCGGTTCAAGTGAAGCCATGTGGACCTAAAGCCGCGGTTCGGTCCGGTTCACCTCCGGGTTCCGCTCATCTCTCCGCCTGTCAAACTCTTCGAAGGTGATTCTTCCTTCCAGGTAATCCAGGAGTTCAGCGCTGAATCCGGACATTTTCCTCCCAGCTCACAACAACCGCTCCATCGGCTGAACTTCATCCGCCGCCACTTCCGGGTTCCTCTTCTTCTTCTGCTAAATTAGAGCAGCGCAGCGGAGCGGAGCCCCCTAGAAAAGTACATCCCGCAACTATGGAAGCAAATCGTTACCATATTTCAAATGAAAAAGCATTTCCAGAAACGCTTTTTCATTTTAAAAATGTGGCTGCATTGTTTGACTCATAAATTAAATTATCAATCAGTCATCCAGTTGCATTTTCATTTTCTTCTTCAACACCGCTCATCCTTTTACTTGATTAAAAATAAAGACATTTGAGCTTTATTTTTCAAAATGTACCCCAGCAAATTCATACCAAAATTCAATTTGAAATGTAAAATTTGAAAATGAAAAAGCATTTCTAGAAATTTAAATAATGTGATTGCATTGTTTGACTGATAAATGAAATTAGTAATCAATCATCCTATTTTCATTTTCTTCTTTAGACTGCTCATTTTATGCCATAATCAAAGAGAAAACACAGCGGCCATTGCTTTTTCGTTTTCATGGTCTGCCTGCAAAGTACTGTCCATAACTGGAAAATGAAAAAGCATTCTGAGGGGCGGGGTCAGCAGAGTGACGTCAGCAGCCGCTCGTCCTCAGGTCCTTTCTGACCGGGCTACCCATCTTGTTCGGTAGGGGGCGCTGTGCACGTCTGCATTGCATTATATTGTAAGCGTGCCGCTGGAACACTGGTTGAAACTGGTCTGACTATCGGGACATTCTGAACGACCACAATGACCAGAACAGTGGCAGAGCTTGCCAATTCTGGGCAATATGGGATGAAATAATTTGTCTATGGTAGACGCCGTGCAGCGGCTTGTCCCTCCATGATGGTTCTCCTTCCTCTTTCTTGTCCTCACTTTCAGTTTTCTCCTGCCTGAGGTACTCACCAAGCCATTTGTCTTTGGGGGCCATCTTCCTGATGTACTCCTGGATCTTAGTTGTTTCATCCTGGACAGTGTTGACACTCCCTAGCCCTCGGCCTCCCTCGCTACGCTTGGTGTACAGTCTCAGAGTGCTGGATTTGGGGTGGAACCCTCCATGCATTGTGAGGAGCTTTCTGGTCTTGATGTCAGTAGCCTCTATCTCCTCCTTTGGCCAGTTTATTATACCAGCGGGGTATCTGATGATTGGGAGGGCATATGTGTTGATGGCTTGGATCTTGTTTTTCCCATTCAGCTGACTTTTCAGGACCTCTGCTCATGTTTATCTATTTATAGAAATGGCCCAAACACAGTCACATGGTGTTTCATCCACACGCCTTTCAATTGGGGCTTTAAGATTTCTAAAACATGTTTCAAAATAATGTTTTCATCAATAATTGATGTTTTATAGCTGTGTAAACAAATAAAATGAGATTTAAAATTCCACCTGAGACGTTTGACTCTGTGGGAGTAATGCAACAGCAGGTATTCATTTTTAGCCCCGCCCCCTAATGGCCGCCATCATTGGAAACTAGAGGCTCAGACCTTTCCAAGGAGGGGTCAGAGGTCATTGTGCGACCATTTCAGGTGATGTAACCGCTATGCGTTCCATAAGCTGCTCTGTTATTCTTATTTTCTATTCAGTTTGGTGATTTTATTGGTAAATTTCAATGAACCAACGGCTAAATCTGAGGAGCAAAGGCTTTGCCTCATGCAGAAGGTCTCCAATAATGGAAATCAGCATATTTATCTGACCAGATTCACTTTTATGAGCGGAAAAATACATTTGGCACAATTTGGCCCCCAAAATCCCATTTCCTCCTGCACACTGTTCACTAAAACCTTTGTGGAACAAACATGCTTCAACTGATTCAGTCCAGATTAGCTTGAGTTCTAGTCAAGATGTGGATCTATAAAGCTTAAGGGTTCATCCACAGTTTCTAATGGGCTTTATGCTGTTTTACAGTGTTTATTTAGGATTTATTTATTGTTCTTTGTTTAATCACCTATAAATCAGACATGGTGAGATTTAAAATAGTGGTTCCACCTGAAAAATGTTCCTCAGTGCCTTTCTGTCATACAAATACACACTGGCAAGGAGAGGAGAGGCTAAAGTGGGCTTCACCAGCAACATGCTGCTTTCCTCTCCATCCTCTGCAGCTCACAGGGACTTTATTGGTCTGTTGAGGTTCTCATTATGAGGAAAACTAGAAAAGCAGCTCAAGCCAACCACTAAATTCATAGGAATCAGAGCAGGTGGATATTAACTGCTTCCAAAAAGTGGGATTTCTTTCTACTCCACAAATGTCCAGCACTCCATAAGTCTCTGTGAAGCATTCATTGTGTGTCTCTGTGTTTTTGGATGTTTCTAGTCCCTCTATTTCTATCCATCCAGTTAGGATGGAAATATTTCCTTATTGTCATAAAATTGTTTTATTTCCTTTGAATATTTGAACATTTTATTTGACATATTTTTTAATAGAGCTCTGGATTGTCATGGCATTATGAGGCAGTTTTAAAGGTTCTCTGTAATTTGCATTATTGGCCCTTATAAGGTTTTTAAAACCATTAATATTTCATGGTTGAAAATAATAAAATAATAAGTTTAGTTTTGTTCTTAAAGATGTAAAATAACCAGCATTTTTTTCTAGATCTTACTTCCTATAAATGTTGAATCATGATGAGTAAAGCTAAAAAACAATGGCTCCCTGCTGAGTTTTATTGCTATAATGCCAGTAGAGGTTTTTCCATCTACTAAAAGGTCTGATTAGATGGTAACTGGGCTTTCATCGTAAAATATTAAAGAAGTAGATGGAAAAATGCTGGAATTATAACAATTACTCTAAAGATAAAGAGGGTCTGTGCATTTTCATCTAGAATGAATCATCAAATATTAGTCAGCCCGGATTATTTATTGGAATATTTATTCTTTTTTCTTCAATAATCAAAATAGAGAAGCTAAAGGCTCAAAATCTAAAACCTAAAAAAGTAGCTCATCTATTGTGAATCCCTCATCCACCATAACAGCATCATCAGATATTTAGTCTGATTTTGAACATTTTGAACCTAAATGATGAACTAAATCAGAATAAGTATCATGAGGCGATTATCTGTGGATCCAAATCCCTCATTGAACTGATCTTTGTTTGTGTTTCCAGGTGAACTGATCAGTTCCTGTAATAAATGCTTTCTTTCTGTCGTCTCTCTGCAGCAGAGCTGGAAGCAGAGAGTTCTGGATGAATGAAGGTGAAACCAAACATCTGATCTTCTCCAGCATCACATGAGACACTCTGAAGGAAACCTTTCTGACCTTTAGACACAAAACTCACTATTTATTGGAAGAATGAGAAGAAAACGTTTCCACATTTCTCTGGAATCAACTTGTTTTATTGAAGAAACCAAAGACACAGAACAGCAGACACAGATTTTTCTGATCTAGATCTAAAGCATCTAGAAGAAAACAGCATCAGTTCTAAGTTGATGTTAGTTTCAGTTTTCTTCTCTGGATTCAAAGCCAGAAAACAGAAGCGAGTTCAGTTCACTTCAACCTCAACTGATTTCAACTAGAACAACATTTGTTCTGCAGAACAGAGGAAGAGAAACCAGAACATCCAGATCCATCAATACAGATATTACAGCAGAACAATCAGAGCCCAGAGAAGTTTACATTCTCATCTGGAGAAATATTTCTGTGTCAGAAGAATGAAAGAAAACATCAGCGGTGAAATCCTTCATGGTTCCTGGAACACAGACACAGAGAACTACATTTAAAAAGAGAAAGAAAGAAGAAGAGAGAAGCAGAGACACCAGAACCAGGAACCCTGATCAACAATCAGAACCAGGAACCCTGATCAACAACCAGAACCAGGAACCCTGATCAACAATCAGAACCAGGAACCCTGATCAACAATCAGAACCAGGAACTCTGATCAACAACCAGAACCAGGAACCCTGATCAACAACCAGAACCAGGAACCCTGATCAACAACCAGAACCAGGAACCCTGATCAAATACCAGAACCAGGAACCCTGATCAACAATCAGAACCAGGAACCCTGATCAACAACCAGAACCAGGAACCCTGATCAACAACCAGAACCAGGAACCCTGATCAACAACCAGAACCAGGAACCCTGATCAACCATCAGAACCAGGAACCCTGATCAAATACCAGAACCAGGAACCCTGATCAACAACCAGAACCAGGAACCCTGATCAACCACCAGAACCAGGAACCCTGATCAACAACCAGAACCAGGAACCCTGATCAACAATCAGAACCAGGAACCCTGATCAAATACCAGAACCAGGAACCCTGATCAACAACCAGAACCAGGAACCCTGATCAACCACCAGAACCAGGAACCCTGATCAACAACCAGAACCAGGAACCCTGATCAACAATCAGAACCAGGAACCCTGATCAACAACCAGAACCAAGAACCCTGATCAACAACCAGAACCAGGAACCTTGATCAACAACCAGAACCAGGAACCCTGATCAACAACCAGAACCAGGAACCCTGATCAACAACCAGAACCAGGAACCCTGATCAGCAACCAGAACCAGGAACCCTGATCAACAACCAGAACCAGGAACCCTGATCAACAACCAGAACCAGGAACCCTGATCAACAACCAGAACCAGGAACCCTGATCAACACTCAGAACCAGGAACCCTGATCAGCAACCAGAACCAGGAACCCTGATCAACAACCAGAACCAGTTACCCTGATCAAATACCAGAACCAGGAACCCTGATCAACAACCAGAACCAGGAACCCTGATCAACAATCAGAACCAGGAACCCTGATCAAAAACCAGAACCTGGAACCCTGATCGACAACCAGAACCAGGAACCCTGATCAACAACCAGAACCAGTTACCCTGATCAAATACCAGAACCAGGAACCCTGATCAACAACCAGAACCAGGAACCCTGATCAACAATCAGAACCAGGAACCCTGATCAAAAACCAGAACCTGGAACCCTGATCGACAACCAGAACCAGGAACCCTGATCAACAACCAGAACCAGGAACCCTGATCAAAAACCAGAATCTGGAACCCTGATCAACAACCAGAACCAGGAACCCTGATCAACAA